GACTGCCCGATGATTGTCCCGATGGTTGTCCCGATGGTTGTTCCGATGGTTGTCCCGATGGTTGTCCCGATGTGTCCCGCATGGTATTATTTGACAGGGATGATGGCCCTGGCAGGTGCGCAACCGTTGTCGCAGAAGTTCGAAAAAGTTGCTCGCAAAAGCCCGTTTGACAGAAATGTTTAAAAAGTGTTGGGTTTCCTACGAATCCGCAAGAGCGCGCGGGATGAGATTTTGACAATTTTTTTGTTGAAAAACCATTGGTTTTTTGATGTTTTTATGTTAAAATCGCTGCGAACACTAAGGTTTTGGAAGGATTTCGTCTTGCGCGCGCGAATGTCCACTTTACCTTATTTTTTGCAAGGGATTCTTGAAATTTGATTATATTAGAACAAGAAATGTCATTTTCTATTGTTTTTTGCAAGGGAAAGCGGATTACAACAAAACAACCGGATCCTGTACACACCCTCTTTTCTGAGGCTTCCTCACGAAAATGATGAAAATGTAGCTGCGGCCTAGGCGGCGCAGGGGGGGCGCGCACCAGGGGGCCCAACAATAATTATTCTTTAGAATAAATAATGTTCAACAACAACAACAATTACTAGCACGTGGGGACACTCCGTTCTCACCAGTGCCAGGGTTTTCATAGGAGGCGGGCAATACCCCCACTTTGTGGGGGGGCCGGTTCAAGCTCTACCAATTTCCAAACGACTCTTCGCCACCACCCACACCCAGCTTCCCGCCCTATGACGTTCGGACACCTCACTTCGTGGCCTGCGGACGACCTTGGCTACTACACTGGCGCATGGGTACAATGACTTGTTGTGGTAACATTTTCTGTAAGCTAGCTTAGTATACGACTTTTCCCCCTGCAATTGAAGATTTCGGCGTGCGCGCGCGAAGAAAAAACGAATGTGTCCCATATGGTATTATTTGACAGGGATGATGGCCCTGGCAGGCGCGCAACCGTTGTTGCAGAAGTTCGAAGCACGTGAAAAAGTTGCTCGCAAGAGCCCGTTTGACAGAAATGTTGAAAAAGTATTGGGTTTCCTAAGAAATCCGCAAGAGCGCGCGGGATGAATTTTTGAAACTTTTTTTTTGAAAAACCATTGGGTTTTTCATGTTTTTATGTTAAAATCGCTACGAAAACTAAGGTTTTGGAAGGATTTCATCTTGCGCGCGCGAGTGTGCACTTCGTGTCATTTTTTGCAAAGGATTCTTGAAGTTTGGTTATGTTAGAACAAGACATGTCATTTTATATTGTTTTTTGACAGGGAAAGCGGGCGTCAACAAAACAACCGGATCCGGACTCCCCCGTTTTGCCTGAGACTTCCTCACGAAAATAATGAAAATGTGGCTGCGGCCTAGGCGCGGCGAGGGGGGCGTGCACCAGGGGGCCCAACAATAATTATTCTTTAGAAGTAATAATATTCAACAACAACAACAACAACAACAACAACAACAACAACAACAACAACAAACAACAACAACAACAACAACAACAACAACAACAACAACAACAACAATCATCTTAAGACTGATCGCTCTTATATGCGCGCGCGTCACTCAATATGTAAATCCCAAACCCTCGATACCCACCCTCTTCGTCTTCGGTCATACCCCTTTGGGGGTATATCTTTTTTACTCGCCACGTGTAGTTGGCGCAGCCCCTAAAACAGGAAGAGCAGGGGGAAGGAGGAAGGGAGAGCGAGGAGGAAAAGAGTGGGGGGAGGGAGGGAGGAGGGAAGGGGCAAGGGGGGGAGGATGGATGGAGGACGAAAGAGGTTAGCAGGAGGGGAGGGGGGCAAAAGAGGAGGTAAACAAACGGACGAACCAGACAGACGGGTCGAGCGGCGGACTCTGAGGGGCGGGTCGGGCTGGCGGGGCGGGCGGACGCCAACGGACGGGTCGGGCGGCGGACCCTCGCTGGCGGGTCGGGCGGGCGGTGGCTTAAAGCGGGCGGGCGAGATGCCAAGAGAGCGAACGGGCGGGCTGTAACAGGCGGATCGGGCGGGCGAAACCTGGCGGGCGGGTGACTAAAGGGTGAATCCTGAATGAATCACGAGGCACACCCTCGATACCCGCCCTCTTAGTATTCGAACGTACCCCCTTTAGGGGGATTATTTCTCTTTGGAAGGGCGGGCGGAGGGACGAGGGAGGAGGGAAGGGAGCAGGGAGGGACGAGGGAGGAGGGAAGATGCTAGGAGGGACGGGACGCGGAGGGGGGAGGACGATTTAGAGGGAGAGAGAGAGAGAGAGAGAGGGAGAGAAAGAGAGAGGGGGGAGGAAGGGAGGGAGGAGGGAGTTTGGAGGAGGGACGAGGAAGGAGAGAGGAGAAACAGGAGGGAGGAGGGAGGAGGCAGGAGAGGGGAGGGAGGAGGCAGACGGGAGGACGGAGGAGGGAGGCAGGAGAGGGGAGGGAGAAGGGAGGAGGAGGGAGGGAGGAAGAGGGGAGGGAGGAGGGAGGAGGGAGGAGGGAGGAGGGAGGGAAGTGGGAGGCCGACCCGGGGAGGCCGCCCGGGGACCGGCCGTGGAGAGACCGCACAGGCTCCCGCAGCCTCGGGGGCGGGGAAGTCCCAGGCGGGGGCGGGGGTCCGGAGTAATTTGCGAGGAAGTCTCAGGCGGGAGCGCCTCCGCCTGAGTAAACTGCGAGGAAGTCCCAGGCGGGGGCGGGGGTCCTGAGTAAATTTGGAGGAAGTATCAGGCGGGAGCCGTTGTTGTTGTTGTCCGGGGGGCCAACAACGCGGTTTGATGCCCACGACTTTCCCTGATAAAAAACAGGGTGCGAGCCCCGGAAGGGGCACTTCAATTGAAAAAATACAAGTTCCGCCGGAGGGGGGGGATCAACAATAATTATTCTTCAGTAATTATTCTTCAGTAATTATTCTTCAACAACAACAACAGCACAAGCACAAACACAAACACAAGCACAAACACGCGCACACACACACACACTATCCGCGATTTCTACACTGGGATCCTGGCGCTGGCCACGCCCGGAGCGAGATCTTTCCACCGGAGCCCCATGCGCCAGCAGCACCAGCCGCGAGTGCCTCTACTGTTGATAACACGCCAGCCGCAGCCTCTGCGAGTTCTCAAGCCCGGGCCCACGCGCCAGCCACAGTCAACTCGATGCCGAAACCGACGCGTTCGGACAGTGTTGAAGGGGCCCTGGGACACACAAATAAATACACACAAATGGCAGGATTCCCCATATTTTCATATATTTTCTGGGTTTTTGTCTTCCCCCCCACTTCCCATATTTTCCCATATTTTCCTGGGGGTCGACGATTAATCGTGTCTGTGTGTGTGTTTTTGTCCCTCTTGATGTGTGTGTGTGTGTGTGTGTGTGTGTCTAGGTGACAGGTGACGCGGCCTGGCCCGCCGCCCCCCCCCCCGCCCTCAGAAACAAGCCGGTCATCGCTGGCGCAGAGCCCCGCGCAACATCCTACCAAGATTCCCATGCAGTTCTGAAGGCGACTGCAGACGCTTATGTCAGGGGGACGTAAGACCTGGGTACAGGGGACTCGGAAATCCCCGACGAAGCCGTCAAAAAAATGACGAGGCCGAGCCTGCATTTTGACGAGGCCTCCCGCTGCAGACATCCCACGAAACTCCTCCTCGTCAAAATCCGAGGCGCGGTCGTCAAAAAACGATGACGAACCCGAGTCCTGGCAAACCCGGGTCTTACGCTCCTATGATATAGCCTTTCGGACAGGCAAGGATTTGCTGAGGTGGACAGGGCGAAGTGGGGCTGAGTTGGCCCGAGACGGACTGAGCTTGCCGGAACCGGTCTGGGCCGTTGGGTGTGGCTGAGCTGCGCTAAATCTGAACTGGGCATGGCAATGGGCCGGGCCGAAATTGGCCGTGCATCGCTGGGAGGTCAGAAAATATGTGCTCCTGGCATGTGTTCTGCAGTGCTTTGCATAGCCGCTCGGAATCTCCCAGACTGGGACAGTCGGGCGTGCACTTCACGTTAGCTCCCGCTCCCTTCCCTCTGTTGCTCTTGTTCCACTGGCTAGGCACCTCGGCTCGAGCCCGCTCCCGGCCCCAAGGCCCCAGCTGCCCTTCGGAACGTCCTCACAAAGGAGTGCTGCTGCTGCTCGAGATTTCCTCGCCATTCACTCGGGGATGGTGACGATGCGGGGAGGGTGAGCATCAGGATCCGGACGCGAAGGAGGAAGGGAGGGCGACAGCGAGACCAGGCCGGCCAGGAGGAAGTGACCCTGGCGTCTCTCGCGCGACAAACATGTCGGGCACGGTTGGCGACGCCACCGCGTGCGCCGCGCCGGAGCGGGAGCGCGACTTCCCTGGGCGAACGACAAACAGGCGCCGCACCCCAGACGAAATCTGCACGGTTTTGGCGAGAGAGACACCCTCCTCCTCCTCCTCCTCCCTCCTCCTCCTCCTCCTCCTCCTCCTCCTCCTCCTCCTCCTCCTCCTCCTCCTCCTCCTCCTCCTCCTCCTCCTCGGCTCGCGCGCGGCCCCGCTTCCAACCGCGGGGCGAGCGACAAAAATGCGCCACGCCCAGGTGGGAGCACGTTTGGGCGAAGTCTGCTGCGGCGCTTGGGTGAAAGGTGAATGTCGCTCGTGGCCCCGCATCCGACGAATTTGCAGCGAAACATGTGCGCCGCACCCAACGGGGAGCGCCGCTTTCAGGAGAGCCAAAAAAAGAACGCGGGGCTCTGGAGCGAGAGCGAGATTTCACCCTTTCGCGCGCGATGCACGCCACGTCCAACTCCTGCGACGCGATTTGTTTTGTCGGCGACAAGACGTCAACGTTGGAAGCGAAAGTAGAAACTCGATTGGAAGCGAATTCCAACATCACGTTGTAGTTGGATCGTTTAGACGGAAGGTCTCGGATTGATCGGCGAGCTAGTCGGCAGAGTCGGAGTAATTGACAACATGAAAAGGGCGAGGACGGTGAGGGTGAGGGTAGGGGATGAGGAGACTCCTGAGCGAGGGTGTCCAGAGAAAGCAGGACGTGGGGAATAAACAAGCTCCTGGGCGACGAGCTGGTTGTTGGAACAGAAGGCTTGATCAGCCGACAGCGCATAAGCTGTAGTTGCAGTCTTGCTGGCGAGCAACAGGCCATCGACATAGAGTGCACTGATGTCCATCGACTCGAGGACAAAGGAGTACGACCCGTTGGAAGTGACCATCAAATACCCCGCCCACTGAACGGCAAAGTCTTCACCCGCAGGCACTCCCATCCAAGACGACAAATTGAGCTCCAGGAAGTTCACCGTCCTTGGATGCCGACCAACTTGGGCTGGAGCACGCGGGGTCGAAGAATCGCACCGCATCGCCGACACATCTGCGATGCATTGGCGACGCTGGACGGAAAAAACATGCTCTGGATCGCGCCGCATCGTGGATGAACATCGGCGATGCGGCGCGATCTCCTTCCGACCTCCTCGGCTCCGGCCCCATTTGGGCGGCCTGCGGTCCCGTGCAGCTGCGACAGGTCGGGAGGGAGGCCCCACACGGCGTCGTCGAACTCGCAGCTCTGCGGCCGCAGCCAGAAGTCCGCCCGCAGGCCCTGGGCGCGCAGGCCCGTCAGGCTGCGCAGCGCGGCGGCCGGGACCACGGTGAGGGCGCCGCCGGTGTCCGGCCCTGAGTAGCGCAGGGACACGCCTGCCTCCCACGTGTTCTCGAAGAAGTTCACAGCCAGGTGGTGGTAGCCCGCCGTCAGGTTGACGGCGACGGTCGCGCTCTCCATGCCCCCCCTGCAGCCCGCGTTGTCCACGAGGAGGGCGTGGTCCAGCAGCAGGCGGCCGCCGTCGTTGGAGTCCAGCTGGAGGGAGTAAGCCCCGGCCGCGGCGATGAGCAGATAGCCCTCCCAGCGGACCGCGAAGTGGTCCTTGAAGCCCAGCCCAGCCCACGCGGTGCCAGACGGAGGGTAGTCGATCACCGAGTCCAGGCGCTGCAGCGTCGGGGTCCTGCCCTCGAGAACCGGGAACACGCACGCCTGCTTGAAGAGGAAGAACGCTGCCTGGAGGCCCAGCTGCGTGAGCCCCCTCGCCAGCGAGAAGACGGCGCTGCGCCACGTGCCTCCACAGTACCGCGCCGGGGCGGCCGCCTCCTCCCCGGGGCAGACTGCGCCGCAGTCTGCGTCCAGCACCCGCGCGTAGGCCTGGCTGGCGGCCATCTCGTTGCCACAGCTGCACCACCCGCCGTTCAGAAGGGCCATGTACAGGTAGTCCTGGCACGCGGCCGCGCAGGATTCGGAGGTGTAGCCGTAGGCGTGCGGCCCGAAGTCGAACTGGCGGAGCTCGTCTTCCGCAAAGCAGCCCACCCAGGTGAGCACGAAGGCGTCGCCGCCCAGGCACTCGACGCCCACGTCGTCCGAGTGAGTGCAGTTGTCGGCGCAGGAGACGGTGTAGCCGCAGTCGGCCAGCGCCCTCTCGTGTCCCGTGCAGCCCACGCTCGCCGTCCAGACGGGCCCACCGCCGGACGCCTGCGCGACGCCAGCGGAGGCCACGGCACCGCCGTGGAGGCCCAACTGGCGGCACACAACCCGCGCGTCTGGGATGCCGAAGCCTCCGCTGGCGATGGTGCCCCAGCGGCCGGCGCGGAAGACCTCGACGCGGCCCCTGGAGCCCTGGGAGAGACGGACCTCTCGGCTGCACGTAAGAGTGACCCCAGGCAAGAGTGACCTCTGGTGCGCGGCTTCTGGGGGGCGCGAGGGGGCCGAACCCGAGCGCGCAAGCCGCTGCCATCGCCTGGCGTTCGGCGATCGGGGAGGCCCAAATGGGCCCGCGCCAAAGGGCACTCTGGCAAAGGGTCACTCTCACGTGTAGGGCGGAGGAGGAGGAGGAGGAGGAGGAGGAGGAGGAGGAGGAGGAGGAGGAGGAGGAGGAGGAGGAGGAGGGAGGAGGAGGAGGAGGAAGGAGGACGAGGAGGAGGAGGAGGAGGATCGAACCTCGCCCTCGGCCAGCAGCGAGCCGTCCACGTGGAGGGCCACTGGGGCAAAACTCGCCTGCCCGCCGGGCTCGAGCGCGCCCGAGCCGAGTCCGACGCCCGCGGCCGTCAGCCCGACGCCCTCGGCCCCTCCAGGCGCCTCGCACGCTGGCCCCGTGCCGAGCACCGCGCCGACGCGGGCCCCGACGGCGGTGCCGCTCGTTGGGACCAGCATGCCGAAGCCCGTGCCGCAGTAGAAGCGCTCCGGGGAGGAGCCCTGCAGGCCGAAGGGGTCCAGCGCCAGCTCGCTGGTCCAGCCTGGCGACGCCGCCGCCAGCACGCCGTCAACCCGGGTGCCGTCCAGCGGCGCCTCGACTGGCACGTTCTCCACGATCGCCCCCCTCTCGGTGAGCAGCGCGCGCGCACCCGCGAGCTCCTGGAGGGTGTACCTGTCCATGGCGCTGGCGGGCAGGGAGAGGATCGAGGCCACTCCGTTCACCACCAACCTGGCCCGCCTTACCTTCACCTGTGAGGGGCAAAGAGAGGGGGGGACCGGCATAGGGGGGAATGCATCGACCTGGAATCGGCGATACATCGCCCATAGATCGGCGATAGGCCTCCAATAGTGAATTCGCACCTTCCTGGGCAGGCTGGGGCTGTCGGGCCCCTATCAGCGATCAATGGGCGATTCGGGGTCGATGCATCCCCCCATGCCTTATCCCCCCCTATCGTTGCCCCCGAACCTGCGTGAGCGCCTCCGTGAGCGAGTTTGCCCCGGCGCCACCAGACCCGAAGGGCTCCACGCCCGAGTCCTGCCAGAGCTCGGCCTGGTGCTCAAAGGTGCCATCGTCCTCGGGGACGCACTGACCCGGGGAGGCGGAGGAGGAGGAGGTGGAGGAGGAGGAGGAGGAGGAGGAGGAGGAGGAGGAGGAGGAGGAGGAGGAGGAGGAGGGGTCAGTGCAAACCCGGGCCAGTCAGGCTTTGCAGGATCCTTCAGGATCTGGCAGGTCCCCTGCAGCATGCTGCGCGCAGGCCTGGGCCAATCCACCCCCTGGCTCGGCAGGATCCTGAAGGATCCGGCGCCCTGGCTGACCCCCGTCTGAATCGACCCACGTCCCTGGGCGCGGGCCCCTAGAACATACACCACCACCACCACCACGTCGGCTCCCTCCTCCCTCCTCCGCCCTCCTCCTCCACTCCTCTGCCCTCGGAGAGGGAGGGGGCGAGGGAGGTGGTGGTGGTGTACAGTCTCAGGCCCCGCCCCTTGAGCCCCGACGTCCCGCCCCGACAGCAGCGCCGGGACCCAGGGGTCCCCGTCGAGCCAGCGGAACGCCGCGTGGCGGCCCCCGCCCGCCCAGATCTGCGGCGGCCACGGCGCGCCCGGCGCGGCCGTCGAAGCGCAGGGGGCCCCCCAGCCTGCGGGGCCCAGAAGCGCGCGCGCGGGGGGCGCATGTGCTCTCCTCCGGCAGATCTCCCCGCGCCGACTCGCGCAGAAGTCTGCGCGTTGGCCCCGCTCTCCCCCCTCTCGCGCTCTTTGTCTCTCTCTCTCTCTCTCTCTCTCTCTCGCGCCTTCCTGCCCTCCCCGTTCGCCTCCCTGTGCACCCCACCGCTTGCGGACCGGCGCCTTGTCTTGGGCCACGGGGGCGCCGGCGGACTTGGAAGTGCGCGGGGGGCAGGTGCGCGGCCGCCGCGGCGGCGGTCGGGGAGGCGAGCGCGGAAAGCAAGAAGGTCTCCGACCCCGTCCAGGGCCCCAGATCGGCACGAAAATCGGCGCGCTCTCCAAAAGACTTCGACACCAGCCTCCCGAAGACGGTTGATGCTTGGCCGACGCTGTCGCCAGAGCCCATGCAGCCATCGTGCTACCACGAGGAACGCTGAATGAACAGCGGAGGTGCGTTTTTGGCCACGGCGAGCCTCGGCCACGAGTGGGTCCCTCGACCCACATCCAAGGAGCGGCCCGAGAGGAAGGGCCCTCCTGAGCCCAAAGTGGTCCTTGTGCACCACCACCAATGACCTCCCTCACGGCCCGATGTTCAATGATCACTGCTTTCGGTGAGGAGACGGGTCGTCCACGGGGCTTCGAAGACTCCAGCGCGCCATCGCACACAGCACGCACCGAAGCCGTCGAGGTCTGACAAGCCGCGACTCCCCCCGTCCTCCCTCCGCCGCTCCTCTTCCCAGCATGCCTTGGCGATGGGCGGTCCTGGCGCGGTGGGTGGCCCTTCGACCCCCCAGGTGCCAGCGGATGGCCGCGTCGTTCCCCTCCTCTTCCCTGCCCTAGCCTTTGCCTTCTCCGCCGCGAGATCAATCAAGCACCTCCTCCCTCGGAGGGCGCGGGGCGGGGGGGGAGGGGAAGAAGCCCAGACCTCGAGGGGCTCCAGCTGGACCCCGACTCCAGGACGAGTGCCTCATCCTTCTGTGGCAACTCGCGGGAGCCTCCCATGCCATCTTGTTGCCTCTTGCGAATCGACGCTAACGGACGCTAGTCGACGCTCATCGGCGCTAGATGGACGCCCATCGACGAAAGTCGACGATTGTCGACGATTGTCGACGCTAAATCGGCGCTACCTCACCGATTACCAGACGCTGATCGACTCTACTGCGCTCTACTGACGGCATTACGAAGGGGATCGAGGCTCCCATGCTTTGCTTCCAAATCATCCTGCTTTTGGCCTGGGCGCGGACCCCGACGCTGAGAATGGCGAGAACCACCTCCAGCCCGACTTTGCCAAGTCGCCGGGAGGTCTGCGGGGGGGGGCTGCTGGTCAGGGCCCCGTAAACAAAAACGTGGCCAAACCAGGACATCGGCGAACCCTTCGAATAGGCGATCGACTACGGAATAGATTTACCCCAAGTAAAATTTTCTGCCGAATTTACGAAACATGCGTACAGCGCCGGGTAGAACCACGGAACATTCTACGCATGTTCCGCAGACTCGATGGAACAATCAGTTGTGGGAGAAATGAATTCTGTAGTCGATCCCCTACTCGAACCCTTGAAAAGCAGCAGCCGCGGGTCGAGGCACTCTCCCTTCTCAATTGCTTTTCTCCGGCCAGAACCTGCACAGTTCTGGCTTGCAAGCGTCCTGGCGTCTTGGACCCTGAGCTGGCGCACACCTCTGCTGGCGGCTTGGAGGTGGGCACCAACACCAACACACGGTGCTCCACCAGAGGAAGATGATCCTAGATTCTGGTGTTGATGGTACTACGCTGGCCACTTACGAGGCCGAACCTCACCACCATCACCGAGATCGGGATTTTCTTCCCTCAGTACAGCAACACAAGAACGCGTAGATATGAACGTTTGGAGGTCCACGCGGATTTCTTGAACACGCGCTGGACCCTCCTCCCTGGCGCGCAGAGCACGCCTAAGGCGGCGCCACAGGCGCCGCCAGGGGGTCCAAGGCGCCGATTCGAAAAATCCGCGCGGAGCTCCGAAAATATATGCCCATGCTGTTTCCTTCGTCAAGTCGGTAGAGGCAACCAGCGACCGATTCTGGGTCGCCGGCTGCGTTCAACGTTGAACGCCGGCAGCGGGGTTGCCGCTAGTCGACACGACACGAACCTGCCGTAGGAAGCCGAACATTACTACCATCACCGAGACCGGATCATCTTCCCTCAGGTGAGGCAACCGCCGGTATTGGTGTCAGTGCCAACCTTTGGGCCTCCGACTTCGGCTGCGTCCAAGAGGGGGGCGACCAAGAGGGGGGGGCGCAACTCATGGCGCGGCCCAGAAAGGGCCCAGGACGCATTGAAATAAGAAGAGGGACCATGAAATCTGGGGAGATATCATGGCCCCGGCCATGATATCTTCCCCTCCTGGTCATCAAACCCCCTCTAAAACCGCCCCCGAATCCCGACGCACACGACCCACGACAGGCCTGATGCAGACATGGTGAGCAGCGACAGCGCTGGAGCGCGATATCGCACAGCCCCCGCACCAGACCGTCGCTGGGGATAGCACAACAGATTACATGGAACCTGCTACCAGCAGTGCATTCTTGGAGGCCTCCTAGATGGGGTTGGAGTAGATGGGGTCGGAGAATCGCGCCTGATCGCCGATGCATCGCCGATGCACCAGCGATGCATCGTCGACGTCGGCGATGCATCGGCGACGTCGACGCGAAGCAAATCGAGCTCCACATCGAGCCGCATCGGCGATGCATCGGCTGCATCGGTAATGCGCCGTGATCCTCCGACCCCATCTACTCGGACACCGTCCAGGAAGTCTAGAACTGTGGCAATCGATGGAGAATGCCTTCATCGTCAACTCATCGCCGCCCCGTAATCATCACCCCCTCCCAGACCCACGACGTCATGACTTTTTCCCAACGCCGACCCCCAGAGATCTGGACCCCTTCCCCAGGACCCCCCCCCCCCTCCTGAGTCGTTTTTGACGGCCCCGAGGCGAGGTGTCCCCGGAGGCCGAAAACTGCGAAAAACGCCCCGTCGCAATTGTTTCACAACGCGAGGAGTTCTACGGCTCTTGTCGGGGACGCCCGTCTCAAGGCTCCCGATCTTGATCTGGCAGCGAGCGCGGGGGGGGGGAAGTGAGAAGGGGCGGGCCTTCTCAGAAGGCTCGGAGGTCCCCCGGCCTTCCGAGAAGTCTTCATCAAGCCGTCCCCGAAGACACAACAAAAAAATTCTCAGAAGTGGCGCGAGGGCTTCTGAGAAGGCCTTCCTCTCCTCACTTCCCCCCCTCGCGCGCCGCCGACCATGGCTTTCGGGTCACAGCTCGGGTCTCCGGCGGGCGTTCGGGACGATCCGGGCACGCCCGGAACGCCCTCGGCGAGGCGCAGCTGCTGGAACGCATCCCGAGGGCGGAAAGCCGCCAAGAAACGGCGCAAACGCACGAAAGCCTAAAACCCCGCTCGCCGCCCTCCCTAAAACAAGGCTAGGATCGGGATAAATCGCTCCAGAGCGTTCGGGAGCGCTCTCAGAGCGCTCCGGAACGCTCTGGAGCGGCCGCGGCGCCCAATACATCCTCCAAACCCGCCGATTCTCAGAGATTTCGAGTTATCCCGATCCGATTTTGTCCCGATCTTCGCGTCGTTTTACTCCCCCCCCCTCGCTCGCCGCCGACTGATCGCCCCCGACGATTCCGGGCCCAGGGGGGCCGTCGCCCCCGCCGCTGCGGCGGCCGCCCGGCACGGGCGCGGCGGAGCCGAAGGCCTCCCAACCCGCCGCGCTGCTGACGCCGTTGCTGCAGGAGACCCGCACGCCCGCCCCCGCGCAGGGGTCGCCCGCCGCGGAGGCGGGGCCGGAGAGGGTCAGCACCAGGTACGCTCCTCGATTTGCTTGTTAAACTATATATATATATATATATATACAACCGCACACACATACATACAGACAGACAGACAGACAGACACACAGACAGACAGACAGACAGACAGAGAGACAGAAATGCACGCATGCATGCATGCATACATACATGCGTGCATGGAGAGATACATACATATACACACATACATACATACATACATACATACATACATACATACATACATACATACATACATACATACATACAAACAAACAAACAAACAAGCAAACATACATGCATACATGCATACATGCATACATGCATACATGCATGCATGCATGCATGCATGCATACATACTTACATACTTACGTAATGACTTGCATCCATACTTGCATGTATGCATACATACGTACATTCATACATACATGCATGCATACATACGTACATACATAAGTGCATAAATGCATGCGTACATACATACACTCATACGCACAGTACATACATGCATACATACATACGTGTGTATGTACGTACATACATACATGCATGCATACATACATGTACATGGCACAAGCAATACACAAACAAAACGCAGTTTTGGAGGGGAGGAAGGAGAGCGGACACATCATCACGATGACACACGAATCGGCGACTCGATCGTGAGGCCAGCAAGCTGCAACAAACATAAGAAAACGCAATTTGGAGGGGAGGAGGGCGAGCGGACACAGCATCACGATGACACACGATTCAGCGACTCGATCGTGGGGCCGGCAAGCTGCCTCGAACGCCGTGCAAATGAAGCGTCCAGCGACGTAGGCGAGCTGTCATGCGAGCGATAGCGCCCCATCCAAGAGAGTACCTTCGAGGTAGCTTGAAGGTACGCTCCTGGATGGGATGCAGAAGGACATACTAATGATACGTGCCTCTGTTGGAAGCGCCCATCCAAACCGAACATACAATCGGGCTTCTGAAAGAAGGAACTCTACATAAGGGACGAAACCCCATTTCGGCACCAAAACAACCTGGGTGCACGATGAAGGCTAGAGAAACCACCATGGAATGACCCAAGAAACTGCGAGCCCCTTCCGGACCCAAAGCGGTCCTCATTTCAGCGTCTTGACTGCATAGCACAAACTTATTGTAGAACAACCTCTCCCGAGCGATACGGCCAGAAAGGGCCCGCCATGGACCTCATACTGCAAGATCTCTCGGAACGCGCGTCACCCCTGGGGCAACGCATTCAGATGTCAAGCCTGTTGGGTTGATGCCGAGGCCAGACGCTTCCAGAGGCGCCCACGGCGGCGGCAGGGCCGAAAAGCGACCGAGCCGACGGCGACGCCGAAACCGATGGGGACCGGCACCGGCCTCACGACGCAGCCGACAGGGCCGAGTCGTGGGTACCCTTGGGAACCCAGAACTCCGACGCGTTTCTGTTCAGTACCGGCGGCGTTCTGCCTCGAGTTCGGCCTCCGGGGGCGCTGTTCGGCCTGGGCCCTGTACTGGACTCGGCGTGTAAAAACGCAAATAGTGGAGGAGGAGGAAGAGGAGGAGGAGGAGGAGAACAAACACGTTAAATATCCCTGGAGGTGCCACCAAGTCCCTCGACGACGCTCCGAGACGAAACGGGAGGTCTGGTGGCGGCACGCTCACCAGAGCGACTCCAGACATAAATCAAAAATGGAGCAAATTACAAGAAATCTCCTGTCCTGAGGTGTTTGCCCGCGAGCAGACGGTCCAGGGCCGCCTCCTTCCCTTTTTCGAGCCGTGCCCGACAGCGACACAGCAGGAGAGGCCGCGCACGATGGGAGCTGAAGCCCACGCACTGGAAGCAAGGCCAGGCAGTGTGCGTACCTGAGCCACCGCCACATGCCCAGCCGGGCCAATGATCAGGGTTCGAACCCCAATCGCCCCAGAAAAACACGGAAAACTTCCTGGCAACAGGCCTGAATGGCTTGCGACGCCTCGGGAGCCCCGTGGAAAACTCAAGGAGGTCCCAACACTCTTGCCCAAACGAATTCATAGCCCTCTCAGACAAATCATCACGAATCTGATTCAGATCCTCATCCCGAGGCGGCAGCCCCTTGCCCACGTCCTCTTCCAGGAACAGCGGGCAGGCGTAGAGGTGGTGGCCGAACGTCCCCTCGAGGTCGAGCGCAGCACCAATCGAGGTGAGGACAAAACAGGAGATCCGATCAACTTCCGAGAATATCTCTTCGACGCCGTCATGAAGCCACCCGCCCACAACTTGCGCATAGCACCTGATGGCTGCGGCACAGTACCTGCCGCCCTTCTCTCCCCAACCAGCAGCGGCAACACCCGCGCCCAGACGTCCTTGCCACCCCCCAGACGCTCGCCCAAGCGCACCAGGATCGGCCGCGACTGCCAGCGCATGATGCCCCAGCGAAGGGCATGCCTGATCTCGACGGGCGAGACCTGCATCAGCGAGAGGGCCACTCCCTCGTCTGACTTGATCATCGCGCTGCTGACCACGCCCCAGCCCACCCGTCTCAAGGATAGCCAGCACGCCGCCACAAGACCACGAGCGCCATGCCAGCTGGGACACACGCGCTGCCAGCGCTCACGCAGCACACGCCGCGCTCTCTCCAGCCGCCCCAACTCGAGCATCTGGCCCCAGACGAACCCGCAGCACATGAACACGATGCTGCAGGTTGCCTCGAACATGGGGTCGAACCACTTCTCGCGCTGATTGCCCATATACACTGGCATGGCCTAGCCCACCAGACGACGCCCCACAAATAACAGCAGCCGCCTGACGCGGCCCGCGCAGGTCAGGGTCTGGCACGCCCGCCACGCTCTCGCCATGAGCCGTCGAGGTCAGCAGCCCAGCGGTGCGCCAGGGCGCCTGCACGTGCCCACCAGCCTTCCTCAGCATCCTGACGCGAGGAAGCCGCGCCTGCAACTTCAGGAGCCTGGCCTTGGCCACAGGCCTCTGAACCTGTCCGCCGTGCAAGTCGCGCCCCAGGTTCCTGACCGCCTTCTTCTGCCGGAGCCCCATCGCCCTGGCCCACGGCCGGAAAGCCGAAGCAGCAGCCCTCGAAGTAGAAGCGAAGACCGACTTGGTTGGCTGAATGACAAGACCAAGCCGCCTGGACTCCTGGATGAGCCCCCTGGTCGAGAGCACCAGGGCCGTGGACTCGCAGGCCGGGGCCCCAACCCATTGAAGAGTAACATCATCCACCAATCCTCTGGGAGCGAAAGAGCTGCTGACCTGCTGCGCCTTGACAAGAGCGCAGCATCAGCACCGACAGCAGCGTAGTCGCATGAGCAAATCCAGGCAGGACTCCCTGCCGCACCACCGCCATCGCGCTGAGGCTGCCGTAGGCTCGCACCGCCCTCGGCGCACCAATAGTATGTGACCAGTTGCCAGAGGAGACCGAGCGGGAACTTCACGTCCCTGGCCTCGACGAACAGCCCTGCCACCAAAGCGGTGTCGAAGCACTTCCACATGTCGATCATGGCCGAAACCGGGCGATCACCCAGCAGCTTCTCCACCTCTGCAGCCGCATTGCGCGAAGAGGCCGCCGCAGGCGTGGAACGCCCGCGCCTGCTGCCCCGGACCAAGTCCGATGGATTGCTGCCCACCCAAGCTCGAGATACAGGCCTACGCACTCGAGCCCAGATCCGCATGACCGAATGAATCAAGGCAACCAACCTAGATCCTCCACTCTCCCTGGGCATCGTCACCATCTCCGCGCATATCCGCTCGCGCGGCCGCATCCGCGGCTCCTCGCATACCATGAAAAGGGAAGCCAACGCGCCCAGCCCCTGACAGGACAGAGACCAGAGAGATCTCGGCTGCAATCTGGATGGACCAGCCGCCGTCTTCCAGGACAAAAAACTCAGCATGGCCTGCCCGCGCGCGCCCGCGGACATGCGCGGATGACAATCCTAATCAGCAGCGTCTGGCGGCTACTCGACCTCATCCTCGCCATGGCACTCCCAAGCTGTAGTCCACTTCTGCAACTCTCTATCCGCCAGCTCACGCGGCCTCATCTCCCGACCAGCCTCGATCACCTCCTGAGTGGCCTGGAGCCTAATAAAAGGATGGGCAAGGCTCGCACCCCTCAGGAAAGCCTTGCCCACATAATCTCGCCACCGAGCACGATCGCGCCGGTCGCGCCCCCGCTGCTGGCACGCCATTTTTCGACCGACCTCTTGTCCGTCAAAAACTACATCGCCCAAAAGCTCAAAGACCGAAGACAGGCACCAAAAATTGCACACCCATCCCGGCAGACGTCGCAACGCGTCGCGGCAGCGACGGGCTCCATCGCGATATCGGATGGGTTCGGCACGACACCGAGCTAAAGGCGCCAGGTCCGCCTTCCAGTTCAGACCCTTCGCCCCGCCCCCCCCCCTCCCAGCACATGGCCATGTCAATCAGCTTGCCGAGGTGCGAACGCGTGTCCTGAGCACGTTTGGCCCTGCGAGCTGCGGCCATGAGCACGCATAACTTAGCGCGAATCTGCAGCCGTTCACGCGGGCGTTGCCACCGGCACTGAACTATGCGAATAGACAGTAGGCCAGACCGACCCGAGGTAGCGCATGCCCCAGATACGTCCACGATGTAGACCAGCTGCAACCCGCGCTCGATCTGCACGAGTAGGAGATCCCACGAGCACCTGAAGTCTGCCATCTTCAGCATAATCCGCCGGCCCCCTTGTGGGGCCACCAGGCTGTAGGAGCGAGGTTCGCAGTTTCCTGTGCCAGTTGTAGCTTGTAGTTTCCAGTGTTACAGCTCTGCTTCTTGCTGGTGACTGCAACTACTTGACTTATTGCTGGTTATTGTAATTAGTTGATTGACCGCGCGAGGGGGGGGAGGCCCAAACCGGCTTTTTCGCACCCCCTGGGCGCGTTGCCTGAATTGCTGGGGGGGCTCGAAATCGACACCCCTCACGCAGATCCGCGGGGTCAAACTCCAAAAGCACCGGGGATTTGCCACATTTCTGAAATTCGGTGCCACCCCTCACACAGATCCGCGGGGTCAGGGTCCAAAAACATTGGATTTGCCACATTTCTGAAATTCGGCGCCACCCCTCAAACAGATCCGCAGGGTCAGGGTCCAAAAACACATGGGATTTGCCACATTTCTGAAATTCGGTGCCACCCCTCACGCAGATCCGCGGGGTCAGGGCCCAAGAACACATGGGATTTGCCACATTTCTGAAATCCGGCGCCACCCCTCACGCAGATCCGCGGGGTCAATGTCCAAAAACAAATGGGGTTTGCCACATTTCTGAAATTCGATGCCACCCCTCACGCAGATCCGCGGGGTCAGGGTCCAAAAACATTGGATTTGCCACATTTCTGAAATTCGGTGCCACCCCTCACGCAGATCCGCGGGGTCAGGGTCCAAAAACACCGGGGATTTGCCACATTTCTGAAATTCGGTGCCACCCCTCACGCAGATCCGCGGGGTCAGGGTCCAAAAACACGGGATTTGCCACATTTCTAAAATTCGGCGCCACCCCTTACGCAGATCCGCGGGGCCAGGGTCCAAAAACACAAAGGATTTGCCACATTTCTGAAATTCGGTGCCACCCTTCACGCACATCCATCGCAAGGCGTGGTAACCCAAACTGCGAGAACTCCCTCGGCACTTTAATCGCAAGGTGTGGTAACCAAGCCCGTAAACCATACACGTCTTACCAATCGCCAGGTGTGGTAACCCCTCTTGTGATCAGTTGGTTTTGCTGATTGCGAATCGGCTTCGCATGAAGTTTCGACACTGCTTCACGACAGCGCCAAGGCCTCATGACTTAGCTCTTCCATGGCCCATTCTCCGAGAGAGCGGGCCGGCGGCAGGGGGCGAAGCCCTTGCGGATAAACAGCGCGCTCCATATCATCCCAGTCAAGGGGGACCTCGCACATCCAAAATGCGGTGCGCGACCAAAGGGCCTAGGCTCATTGATGACTCTGACCCACGACTGACGACCACATGCAAGTATGTCCATCGCCACTGGCTCTAGAACCTTGGCAACTGCATCCCCAATAAAATTGGGCCGCCCGAGACGGGCAGCCAAGTCGCAGCAAACGACGCCATGATTAATCTTAGACCCAGGCATGGAGGCGAAGCAAGTGGGCCTGTCAAAGGCCAACACGATCAGACTGGGGCCCAGATTCCAGTCCAGCTCGGTTCCGGTCCGCCAAGCAAAGAGCCAACTGCAACAGGATGGCCTCATTCTCAGGGCTGAGACCAACTCCTGATATGAGGTATACGCACACCACCACCGTTGTTCTTGCGTTTACGAGGCGGTCGAAAGGTCTCGGGGCCGAGACCACCGCAGCGTCTCGCTGTGCCATCTACCCTGCGAAACTGATGGCGAAGCAATTTGATAGGCCCCTGGACCATCAAAGCACTGGGATAAAAAGAAAAAGAGGGAGCAGGAAGAAGCACTAGATGGTAAGCGCACAAATCGTTGCTCTGCAAGCCTTCACGTGTATGAGATGGTGGGACAGGAAAATCCGTAGTGCGAACTCCGAAAGATAGAATGGTGACAGTTCCTCTCACCGTCTGGGTGACCATGAGAAGACCAGATTAAGCTGAACATGCAGTGAGGTCTCATGAATGCCTTACCGCGTTGAGAACATCTCCGTCACCGAAGTGTTGAAGCAGGCCTTACAGCCACCGCTCTCGTAATCCAGACTTTCTGAAGTAGTATTGAAGCCGAAGGAACGAAATATAATACAAGCCTTGACAACATATGCGAGCGAGCAGCTCGCGGAGCCTGCAAATCCGATACACAAAACGAAAGGTAGGATGCACTTAATCATGCGAGCTGCCAGCTCGCGCTGACTTCCAACGCGACGCATACTTCGTCAGGCCGCGCCTTAGGGAATCGACCACGGCCACATTATGCAGCCCTCCTCGGGCGGGTGGCACCCATCCGCCTGAGGCCATCGAGTTCCCGGCTGGTAAACACGAGGAGTTCTGCGACGCGCATTCCTGTATAATCCTACATTCCTGCCTGACAGCATATCCGCCCGCTCGCGATCACCTCCTCGATCTCCGCTTCGATCTCCGCCATTGCGGCTCGAATCCCTGGGGGGGGTCTCAACCCTCTTACGGCGAGATCGGCGAGCACGCGATCGACGAGGAACAGCGTCGGACGCCTCAGCAACGAAAGCCGCACCTGGGGCAACGTCGTGAGCTTCCTCCCGCTCCTCCTCCTTCCAGTTTCTCCACGAATTGAAGACGGCCCGAACAATGCGGTGCATCCTCCGTTTGTTGTGCAAGTCATATCCCATGTACTCCTCCACGTCTTCTTCCATATCAGCGCAGCGTCGCTGCAAGGTGGGGGCCTTCACATAAGACCATTGCCTCTCAGCCTTTAGCACCAATGAGGAATATGCCACATAGTCGTCAGAACATGAGTCGCAATCTTCGCATTCGCGGGCTGCACGCGACGCAAGTAGATGCGAAGCGAAATCATGGCAGGCAAGATCATGCATGCGCAGCAAGATCATGTGACGCAAGATCACGCGAGGCAATAGGACGTGAGGGAATTTCACGCCAAGCAATAGCAGGAGAGCCAATATCATGCAAAGCGGTCTCTTCAACGCCAACGTTGCCAACGTCATGCGGACGCGCAGGAAAATGAGCTGACTGCGCATCCAACCACAGAGCCCCATCTTCACTGCAAGCGTTAACCTGCGATTCAATGTTGTGTGAACGAGTCTCCTGCACTCTTTCTGCGCAGACTCCATGTGGAACAATCTTCTGCAAAGCTATATCATGTGAACCGCTGGCGCGCGGATCAATATCATCACGGCCACTATCAGGCGATAAGGAAAGTGAGCCGGCTGCGAGTCCACAAGCGGACTTGGGCGACCATTCGACGACAACGGGCGCAGGGCAATTCAGAAGTGAGAAGTCCACTCCACCTGGCGAAATGCTGGTAATCTGATTCTCCGTCTCTTCCGTTTGAACGAGGATGAGCACAGCGAAGAATTACGAGGATGCTTCGAGAAATTCCAATCTACGCCGACCCAAACTCCCCCCAAAAAAAAAAAACGACTGCCAAGAGGGCGCCACACAATAAGGGGCACACACAACACGGTGATTCGCGAAGACGCACGATGTGCACGATCAGCGGAGAGTGCTCAATATCTTCCCTATGTGTACGTTCAGCAGAGCGCGCGCAATATATTCTCCAAGATATGCCACGATGACACACGGTGCGTCTCAATGTGTACGGCCAGCAGAAACAACGGCAAACTGACGGCACAATGCCGCTCGAGAACGAGGGCCCCCCAGCGGCGAGGCCAAGGCTGCGGGGAGGAGTTCCCGCAACATTGGCTACCGCTGGGAACTCGTACAGCTTGAGCCAAAATGGCTACGGTCCACGGCCCCAGGAACTCGCCAGGCCACGTCGGCAACGATGATGCGCCCGTCGACCATGATGGGATTGTCCAGCATCGGCGGCGCCTTCACCACAATATGCGCGGGCACCGCAATATCAACTCCGCTGGATCGGCCCCCAGCTGCGGTCTCCAACGCACTAGACCATAGCCCATTATATCCAAGGCCCTCGGCGTGGCCCTGCATGGAAGCCAGACCCGTGCACAAGGCCTCGTGTTCCTGAACTCACATCACCTGTGAACTGCAGTCTTTCAGGAAAGCCGCAAGCGGAGCAGCGCCCTCCACATCCACCATGACGATCGCACCCATGACACCGTCGCTCACCAACTCCCCCGAAGCTGCCGACGCACCACGGCCAACTGCGCTGCGCCGCCCCCCAACTGCGCCTGCCATATCCGCGCCTGGGGGGCCCAGGCCGCTGGAGCCCCAAGGGACTGGGCAGGCTGGGCGGGGGGCCGGAGGGCCCAACGGTTGCCGTGGCCATGCCCGCGCGAGCGGCGGCAGCACCCGCAAACTGTCCGACATCAATATGTGACGCCAGTACTTCAACTCCCATGGTCAAACTCCAGTCTTGCTTGGCCTCGGGGGGCAAGAACGCGCACTCTCGGCAACGCGCTCAGCAGCAGCACGTAGCCCACCCAAACCCGCAGGAAAGTCCTCTTCACCGTAGACGCCCACGAGGCCGGCCCGCAGCTCCACAGCCGAGCCCCCGTCGATCCGCTCAGTGGCGACGGCTCCCAGATCAGGGGGCGCTTGCCGCAGGGGCGGGGGCCTCGCCTGCACCGCCCCCGCCGACGCCTGAGCGACTGGCCGCAGAGCCAGAGCGCAGCACCTGCGGGAAGACCCCCGCCGAAACTCTGGACCAGAGTGCCACTCTGCTCCTCGCCGACGCCGTCGGAGGCCGGCATCTTGCCCAGCGCCCCGACGTTGACCTCGAGCCCTGCGATGGGGGGCCCGAGCTCTGGCTTGCCAAGAGCCCCGCCAGCCTTCGTCGTGAGCTCCTTCAGCTGCGCACTGAGCGCAGCCACCTCTTTTTCCTGCGTGTCGAGGCCGGCCTCGCCAGCCAGCAGCTCCTCCGGAAGGGATGCCTTCTGCCTCCGCTTGGCCTCGACCGCCTCCCGAATAGCATTGACCTGCTTTTCGCCCAACCTGACCCTGTGCGACATGGCCTGAAGCTGCACGTAGACGGGCTCCGACGCCTGCAGGCGCGATTGCACCTCGTCCTTCTCCTTCTTGAGCTCCCCGACGAACTTCCGCAGCTGCACGTCAGCGCTGGTGGTCTTCGCCACAAGCACCACCTGTTCCTCGTTATCCTTGATACGCTTGCGACATCCAACTTCGTCGACCTTAGACCCGTCGATGCCGCCCGAGTCGCGGGCGGTGCCACCAGCGTCGACGTCCATCGCCTCGGCGAGACCCCCCGAGCCCGCGTCTAGCTTGGCCGACTTGAGTTTCGCAATCTCCGATTCGAGCTCCTAGATGCGTTTCTTAGCCTTATCCTCTTTCGACCTGGCCAATTGTGGGCTCTTCGCCTTGTCCCGCACACTGCGAGACGGCTCCCTGGGCTCAACGTGCTCCTTGAAACAGGCTAACTTCCAAAGTTTGCACAGCACGCACTTCGCCGCCTCAGGAGCATTCCGCCAGGGGAAGCCAGTCCTATCGTTGACGCAGCGCTTGCAAATCCAGCGCCTCGTCTGCTACCAAGCGCGCCTCGCCGTGGCTGGACCTGCGAGGAACGGGCTGGGGCTCTCGAGCCCTTCTCGCCAGACACGGACTCCACTCGGAGACTTTGAACCCGCGCGGGAAAACGAGGGACCTTTGTGATGGATGGCCAACGAGCTCGGGAAACAGAACTATCCCATGCAGGCACGAGGGCGCGGATGCCATCTCGTGGAGTCATCTTGAGCCCAAATGGCCACAGAGCAGGAGGAGGAGGAGGAGTAGAAGAAGGAAGAAGAGAGGAGGAGGAGGAGGAGGAGGAGGAGGAGGAGGAGGAAGAGGAGGAGGAGGAGCACGACAACAACGACGACTTCGGGCACAACAGTAACCAGCCTGAGAGGGTAAAAACACATCGCCTCGGGTATACATGTATGTAAATACACACATGTGTGTATACATATATCTATATATATATATATGTGTATACATGGGCGATTTCGCAGAAACCTGAACCCAAAAACGTCTTCTCTCTTGGGAGGTCAACTCTTTACTTCCGCCGCCTTCCGCCGAGCTTCCGCTGCCTCCGCCCCCGGAATCGCTCGTCCTAAGGGTTTCGTGCTGGCCGCACCGCCGGTGCAGGCCGGTACGAAACCCCCCAGGATGCACGAACCCCCCCGGGGCCAGTGCGCCCAGGTACGAAAACCCCCAGAATGGATAGAGCGCGGGGCAGCGCCCGGGCAGCGCGTGCGAGCGTCCAGCGGCGGCGTCGGCGCCGACGACGACGACGACGACGACGACGACGACGACGACGACCACGACCACGACCACGACCACGACCACGAGGACGACCACCACCACCACCACCCCACGCCCACAAGGGGGGGCGGGGGGGGGCCACCACGCCACGCCCAGTGGGGGGGGCCCATCGCGCGGGGGGGGCCCGATGGCATCAGCATGAGGGGGGGGGGCAGACCCTGGACCATCTATCTCATGTCCGTCCGTCGATCCGTCCATCCATCTGTACCTCCATTCATCCATCTAGTCCTCCCTCCCACCCCACGCCCACGCCCAAAAAACCCATCCCCCTCGCTCCCACGCAGCCCCCCCCCCGCCCCCACAGGAGCCCCCCCACCCCACTACCAGGGGGCGCCGGTGCGCCTGGTACAAAACCCCCCGGGGAAAAGGGACAGGGGGGGTTCCAGGTCGACGGCGGCACCCGGTGCGCCCTGTACGAACACACCCGGGAAGGCGGAGGGGGGGGTCGTGCCACGGGGCACCGCCGACATATATGTAATATATATATATATATATACATATATATATACATACATACATACATACAGACAGACAGACAGACAGACAGACAGACAGACAGACAGACAGACATACAGACATACAGACATACATGCATGCATGCATACATACATACAGACAGACAGACAGGCATACATACATCCATGTATACATACGTACGTGCGTACGTGCGTACATACGTACATACGTACATACGTACATACGTACATACGTACATACGTACATACGTACATACGTACATACGTACATACGTACATACGTACATACGTACATACGTACATACATACATACATACATACATACATACATAAATATACATACCTACCTACCTACGTACCTACCTACCTACCTACCTACCTACGTACATACATGCATGCATACATACATACATGTATACGTACATACATACATACATGCATGCATTCATACCTACATACACACATACATACATACATACATACATACATAAATAGATACATACATATATACATACATACACACATATATATATATATATATATATATCAGCCGACCCTGTCGGCGTGTGCGAGGGGCTTTTTCCGTTCGAGTCGGGTTCTTCCGTTGAAGTCGTCGTCTCCGTCCTCCTCTGCTCCATTGCCTGGGCTCTCTTCCCCATACGCGCGGTACAAAGCAAAATTGAACAACATCGGAGTTGAATCGAAGGGAAGCCCCTTGCCTTTGATCCCTTCCCCGCGCCGGAGGGGGGGGCTCCAGGGGAATCACCTGGTGATCCCGTGGGGGGTTCCGGGTGGCTCCTGGGGGAGCCCAGGATGGGTCCCGTGTGTGGAATCCCGAAACTGTGCGGTGACACACCGTGCGGTGACCTCGAAATCCCCCAAGAACTCACCGCACGGTCCGTCACCGCACGGTTTTGGGACCCTGGAGGCCCCTGTCGCCCGAGACATCCTCGGAGAACGACCCGAGTCCCAAAACCGTGCGGTGACCCCGAATCCCCGCCGACTCACCGCACGGTGTGGTCACCGCCCCGTTTGGGGGCCCCCAGAAGGTCCTGGGTGGGTCCTGGGGGGGGGTCGCCACCCAGATACGTTTTCCCCCCGCGTCCCGGCCCCCGCTCCAGCCCCGGGCCCGGACCCTGACACGGCCCAGCCCGGGGGGCCGCAGCCCGGGTCCCAGTCCCGGCGCCCCGGCCCCAGCCCCGGCCAGCCTCGGCCTCGGCCCCAGCCCCAGCCCTGGCCCTCCCTGGCCCCAGCCGCGGCCCCAGCCCAAGCCCCAACAGAGCCCAAGCGGCTTCCGAGAGAGCCCCACGCAAGGCTCCACAGCGTCAGCGTCGTCGTCGTCACCGCTGCCGCCGCCGCCGCCGTCGTCGTCGTTGCCGTCCCCAGGGACGGGGCGGCACCGGCCGCTAGGCCTTCCTTGTACACATGTGTATACATATACCTAAAGGACCACCCTTCGGGTGATAAGGAGGTTCGGGGGGGGGAACCAACGTCTCACTCGATCGGTCTCACTATCGATCTCAGTATCGATCTCACTATCGGTCTCGCTCGATCGATCTCACTCGATCGATCTCACAATCGATCACACTCGATCTCACAATCGATCACACAATCGATCTCACATTCGGTCTCAATATCGATCTCACTATCGAAATCACAATCGCTCTCACAATCAACGTCATCATCATCATCATCATCATCATCATCATTATCATCATCATCATCATCATCATCATCAACAACAACATCATCAACATCATCAACATCAACATCATCACAAACATCGTCATCATCATGAGGGCACCGTCATCATCATCATCATCATCATAAACATCATCATTATCAACGTCAGCATCATCATCGGGACAACAACATCAGCATCATCATCATCACCACCATCATCTCATCATCAATATCATCATCATCATCATCATCATCATCATCATCATCATCATCATCATCATCATCATCATCGGGACACAGTCATCGTCATCATCATCATCAGCAGCATCATCATAATCATCATCATAGTCGGGGCACCATCATGATCACCATCGTTCTCATCATCAACATTATCAACAACATCGTCATCATCCTCGGGACACCATCATCATCATGATCATCGCATCATCATCATCGACATCTTCATCATCAACAACATCATCATCATTGGGGCACCATCATCATCATGAGCAACATCATCATCAACATCGTCATTATCATTATTATCATCATCGGGACACCATCAGCATCACCATCATCATCACCATCATCATCATCAGCATCATCGGGACACCATAATCATCATCATCATCATCAACATCATTATCGCCGGGAGACCATTTCCATCAACATCATCATCACCAACATCATCGGAATCATCATCATCAGCATCATCATCGGGACACCATCATCGTCATCATCATCAACATAATCAGCATGAGCATCATCATCCTCATCATCGGGACACTATCATCATCATCGACACCATCATCAACATCATCATCTTCTTCATCGGGACACCATCATCATCATCATCTCATCATCATCATCATCATCATCATCATCATCATCATCATCATCATCATCATCATCATCATCATCATCATCTTCTCATCATCATCATCCTCGCGGGACACCGCGGGACACCGGCGGGACACCACGGGACACCGCGGGACACCGCGGGACACCGCGGGACACAGCGGGACACCGGCGGGACACCGCGGGGCCCCGGCCGCCCGGAAGGGAATCATTTGGTCCGGCCGCGCCTCAGCCACACGGGACACCAGCGGGACACCGGCGGGACACCGCGGGGCCCCGGCCGCCCGGAAGGGAATCATTTGGTCCGGCCGCGCCTCAGCCACAGGAGACTTTCTCTCGCCCGCCCACGCAGCTTCGCCTCGCCCGCACGGCACGCACGAACACGAAACCGAAACCGATTTCCCGGTGGGGGGCTCGCCGTTCCACTTCGATCTCACCCCCTCACCTCCGATCTATATATTTATCTATATATGTGTGTGTATACATATATATATATGTATATATACAAGACTGCTGTGGCGCTTTGCGCCATGCACCTTGGTCCTTGAAGTTTGGTATGCAGGCGGAATAGCAGGAAGGTCAAGCCGACAATTTAGCGATAACTCCTGGTTGCCTTGTCCGGTATCGCCGCTATAATAATGTTATTAGTTATCCTTCCTCCATGTTTCCATTTCAATTTTTTCACCACACCCTGCGCATTCTCCCCATCCTCCTCAGCTCTTTTTTGCGGAGGCTATTCCTTGGAGAACCTCTGGGGGCCTCACAAAAGTTGCTTCAGGTTTCCTTAAGGCCTTCTGCAGGCCGCCTGGGCGTATTCTGGAGGCCTCCGGGGCCTTCCTCGGGCCACCCTGCCTCCAACCGCGGTCTCCCTGAACGGCCGGGTCACGATTTGGAATGCTTCGGAGGGTGTCTTTGCGCCATCTTGGGCCGCCATGGGGCTCTTTGAGGGCCATCTTGGACCCGTGTTGTGCCATTTTGGGGCTCTCTTGGACTGCCTGGAAGCCCTTTCGGATGATTGTGGGGCGGTTTTGGAGCCTCCCAGCCGGCTTCGGACGCCCAGAAGACCGCCGTCTTGGAGCGTCGGGAAGCCGAAAAGAGGAGAACCCCCAAATTCACCAAAAACCAACAGAAAATCAATGATTTGTGCCTCGGGGGGCCTTCTTGGGAGTGCTCTTGGAGGCCTCGTTGGGGCCGTCCTGGAGGCCTCTTGGGCCACCTTGAGGTCACGTCGGTCACTCTCGGAGCGCTTTTGTGCTGCTTTGGAGGTCTCTGGGACGTCTCCGATGACCACCCTGATCGCCCCAGGTGAGCTGGGACGGCTTGGCAAAACGCCCTGCGAGGCCCGGTGGCCGCTTCGAGGCCCGTCTGGAGGGTCCCAAAGCCCCAAATCCCGGGAGTCCAGTTTTGGGGGGAGGGGGGGTGACGGGTTTTCCCCCCGCCCGGGCTTATAAAAATATAGGATGAGGAATGGATGTATGTATATGTATATATAATGTAAACATGTGTATTGGTGTGCACATACATACATTCATTCTTTCTTACATACATACATACCTACCTACATACATAATGCATACATACATGCATACATACATACATACATACATACATACATACATACATACATACATACATACGTACATACATACATACATGCATGCATACATGCATACATGCATACATGCATACATGCATACATGCATACATGCATACATGCATACATGCATACATACATACATTCATACATTCATACATTCATACATTCATACATTCATACATGCATGCATTCATGCATGCATGCATGCATACATGCATACATGCATACATACATGCATACATACATGCGTGTATACATGCATGCATACATGTTGGCGTAAATGCATACATGCATACATACATACTTACTTACATACATACATACCTGCATGCATGCATGCATACATACATACAGATATACACACATACAGACATACAAACATACATGCATGCATACCTGTATGCATACATACATGCATATATGTATGTGCATACAGACATACATTCATACATACGTACACACATACATACACACATACATGTACGCATACATACCTACCAACCGACCTACATATATATGTATATAGATATATATATAGATGTATACATATATATACGCGTATGCAGTCATACCAACCTCCATGCATACATACATACAAACATGCATACATACATGCACACATACATACATACATACATACATACATACATACATACATGCAGACATGCATACATACATACATGCATGCATACATACATACATACATTCATAAATACATACATACCTACATACATACATACATACATACATACATACTTACATACATACATACATACATACATACATACATACATACATACACACATACATGCCGACAGACAGACAGACAAACATACGTGCTTACATACGTACACCTGCATTAACATATAGTTATATAGATGCATACAACTGCAGATGTGAATGTGCATATTAGTATGCGCGATCCCGATTGTAATGCCGAGTTGGTAAACAACCGTTTCGAGGCTGCCGTGTAGGGGGGTGCACGCTCCCCTCGTCGGCGCCCGCGAGCATCTCGGTGCGCGCGGTGAAACAAATAGTTTTTGAGCCCCACGGGGCCCATCCACCAGCCATGGGAGTGGGGGGCACTCGTGATCACAAGCTGACATCACACAGAGTGCGACGCATAGTTTGCCCCTCACGACTGGAGGAAAATTAATACTGCTCGGGGTCCGCGCCAGCAGTCCTGATGGCTCCCAGCAGCGTGGACGTCCGCGGATGGTTTCTCCACCGGAGCCTGCTACGCGTTGATCTGCAACGCCATGCTATGCCATGTAATGCTATGCCATGCTACGACATCCGACTGTGCGAATAGAGAGAGGAGATCTACGCCATGGTAAGGGATGGGCGGGAGGGGCAGGACGTCAGATATGACGCGAGCGCACCTGGCTTGCCCCTGAAGCCCCTCTCTTCCCCCCCTTCCCCCCCAGCGCCGAAGAAGCGCCAGCACAGGGTGTTGGGGAAAGGGCACGGCGCGCTTTCCTGCCCTCTCGCTCCGGGCACAGGCTCGAAGGTCACCGAGCTGGCGTTGGCCCCCGTGGCGGAGACCGCGAGCTCCACCCCGCCGTGCCTCACTCCCTCGACGGAGGCCGCGGTGGCGAAGGTGCACGTCACGCTCCCGTTGTACCTCCCAGGAGGGCCCAGAATCGAATCGATCAAATCTTGATGGGCCGATTTCCACCCCCACCACCATGGATAGGAAAGGCGGGAGGAGGGAGTAGGACGAGGAGGAGAAGGAGGAGGATGAGGAGGAGGAGGAGGAGGAGGAGGAGAGGGGGGGGGGAGGGGAGGGGGAGGAGAAGGAGGAGGAGGAGGCGGAGGGAGGGGGAGGGGAGGAGGAGGAGGAGGAGGAGGGAGGAGGAGGAGGAGGAGGAGAGGAGGAGGAGAGGAGGAGGAGGAGGAGGAGGAGGAGGAGGAGGAGGAGGAGGAGAGGAGGAGGAGGGAGGAGGAGGAGAGGAGGAGGGAGAGAGGAGGAGGAGGAGGAGAGGAGGAGGAGGAGGAGGAGGAGGAGGGAGGAGGAGGAGGAGGAGGAGGAGGAGGAGGAGGAGGAGGAGGAGGAGGAGGAGGAGGAGGAGGAGGAGGAGGAGGAGGAAGGAGGAGGGGGAGAAGGAGGAGGAGGAGGAAGAGGAGAAGGAGGACCTCCCCATCGTCCCCAAATCGGATCGGCGATCAAAAAAAATCAGATGGGCAGAAACTGGCAGCCCGGTCGGGAGAAATCGAATCGGCGGAAATCGGCCGGCTGGCAGGCCTCAAAAAAGCCGAACCCGAATCGGAATCCGAAGTCGGAATCCTCACCGAGATCGGCGCCCCTCGGCATCGGCTCGGATCCAATCGGAGGCATCGAAGTGAGCCATGACCTCCAGCGGAAGGCCGCGTGCCGCCCGCCGGCGCTCCACATCGCCAACTGGGAGGCCGAGGCGTTGCAGGGCGCGCGCCACCCGAGCCCCAGCCCCGCCGCGTGCGAGAGGTCGACGGGAGACGAGGAGCCGTACGCCTCCCAGCCACTGCTGCTGCTGCTGCTGGACATGCTGACCGCCCCAGTGCACGTGATCTCGAAGCCAGCCGAGCCACAGAAGTCGTCGCCCGAGGCGGCACTGCGGGCCGCAATGGCCAGGTACGCCCCCGACACGAGGGCGAAGGTCATGAGCTTCGGGCTTGCTGCGTCAGTCAGGTTCCCCGTGGTGTAGTCCAGCAAGTCCTCCCCACCATAATACACGCTGTCTATGGTGTCGTTTGCACCTGCAGTGAAGGTGCACGACACAGCCTGAGATGGCCTCCAGCGGAAGGCCGCGAACTGTCGCCCCCTGGCCCAAATCCTAGGCAGGGGCGACAGGAAAGGCCAGACGGACGGTGCGGACGTGCACGGGACGCTCCAGCCGACGCCCTCCCCAGCCTGGTGGACAGCGTCGACGGCCGCGACGGAGCCGAATGCCTCCCACTCGGGCCCGCTGCCTACGAACACGTTGGGGCTCAGGGCGTTGTCCGTGCACACCACCTCGAAGCCCCCGGCTGCGCAGTCGTCGCCACCCGCGTCTGAGTCGCGAGCCGTCACGACAAAATATGCTCCCGTCACGGCCTCCACCTGCACCTGCCTGCTGAGGTTCCAGTCGGAAAGGTCGTTCACCACATCGTCGGTCACGTTCACCCCGTTGTAGAACACACTGTCCACTACTCCTGATACGTTGAAGTAGCACGTGAACCTCAGGATCGTCGTCGTCGACGTCTCAGACGTCGTGCTCACCGTGGATGTCGAAGTCTCCGTGGACGAGGACACAGTCGTGCTGCTGGTGGCAGAGGTGCTGGACACAGTGGTGCTGGACACAGTGGTGGAGCTGGTGACGGTGGTCGTAGACGTCGCCGTGGACGTACTGACGGTCGACGAGTGGGTGCCCGTGGTGCTCGAGGTGCGCGAGCTCGTTGTGGCAGAGCTGGTGGTCGCCGTGCCAGAGGTCCCTGTGGACGTTGAGACCGTGAAGGTCGTGCTCGTGCCCGATGCCGTCGCGGTGGTGGTGCTCGTGGCCGAGGTGCTCGTCGACGTGGTCCCCGTGGCGGACCCCGTCGTCACCGTGTTCGAGGACGTCGCAGTCGTACTGTAGGCCGAGGTGGACGTCTCGCTGGTGGTCGCCCCGGAGACAGTCGTCGCGGAGACGGTCGACAGCGAGCTCTCGGAGACGGTCGTCTCGGAGGTGGTCATGAAAGACGTGGACGTCCCCGAGACTGAAGTGGCTGTCGGTGTGACGGTCGTGCTGGAGGACTCGGATGTCGAGCTCCCAGTCCCCGTCGATACCGAGACGGTGCTGCTCGTCGCCGAAACCGATGTCTGCGTTACTGAGACAGGGGATGTGGTGGACCTGGATGTGGTGGACCGCGTAACCGACGAAGATGTGCCCGTGAGTGAGACGGACGTGATGGAAGAAGTCTGAGACGTGCTTGTGACCGACGAAGATCCCGTGCTACTTGTAGCGGTGCTCGTCATGGTGCTCTCCGTGACGCTGCTTGTTGTGGTTGTACTGGAGGTATCCGTGCTCGAAGTCTCCGTGGTGGACGACAACGTGTCGGTTGTAGCCGTCATAGAGGACGACATGGTGGACGTCTCCGTGATGGAGGTCAGCGTCGTCGTTGAATTCGCGGTGTACTCGGGCCCACAGTTCCCGTACTGCCGGAAGCACAAGCTGTACAGCCTCCCAGGCTCGATCTCCCTGCAAGCAAGAACCAACCACGCACCGCCTTCAACAGGCCCGCCAAGGCACAGCTTCAGCCCAGAATTGCTGTCTGTCCCTCTTGCTGTGGCGGACGAAGGTGTGCATACATATATCGACATATATAAATATGTTTGTGTAAATACATATGTATATGTATATGTGTGTATGTATAGACATGTGTATATATACATACATATATCCGCCAGCGTGCCTCTGGGCAAGGAATGGGCGTGTCCTCGGGTCCTTCGCCTTATCCCTTGAGCCTCCGTCCTCAGTCCTCCGTCCTCGAGCAAGGGGCCCGGACGCCCAAACTGCCACACATCTCCTGGGGCGCGCCGCGTGCCCCCCTGGGCCTCCCCGCGAGACGTTTTCGGGCCCGGGATGGCCCCAAGGCGAGCCACGAGAGCCCCAGGGCCCCAGGAGACTCTCAAGATGGTCCAAGAGGGTTTCAAGACGCCTGCAGATCGCACCAAGGCGCCTAACTGAGATGGCCCTAAGACGGTCCAAGAGGCCTCCAGGAAGCCCGAAGAGGCCTCCAAGAAGCCTCTCGAGAAGGCCCCCCAAATCCAAATTATGAATTGTCATTTGGTCTTTGAAGGCTGTTGGTCTTCTCGCCTTTTCGGCGTTCCGACGCCCCAAGACAGCGCAAGAGGCTCCCAAGATCGCCCCAAGGCGACCCCAGAGGCCCCCAAGAGGGCCCCGAGACTGCCGAAGAGGGCTCCAAGACGGCCCCAGCGGAGCCCAAGATGGCCCAAGAGGGCCCAAAGACAGCCCCAAGAAGGGCCCAAGAGGGGGAACACAAACCGAAAATCCGAATCTTCCGCCCCAAGATGCCCCCAAGAGGCCCCAAGAGACCCCAAAAGGCCCCAAAGCAGCACCCAAGAGGCCCCAACACGGCCCCCAAGAGAGCCCCGAGAGGCCTCCCCGCTGCATCCCAACGAACATCCTAGAAACTTATGACCCATAGCCCAGGCACGGTGGCGGAATGAGCCGAAGGCCGCCATTAGATATATGTGCATATCTACACACGCGAAACACACCAATCCTGGGCTCAAACTGGGCCTGAGCTGGCCTGGTGGTGGTGCATGTTTGCATTCTGTGGATCCTGGAGTCCACCAGCAACTTCCAAGACGCCCCGTCCTCGAGCAGGGAGGCCTCGGCGGTGAGCCTCGCCTCCGCATCGTCGCAGGACGTCGCGAGGTACGCCTGCGAGGCGGCGGTGCAGGTGCCGCAGTCCAGCAGGATCGGCTGCGACGGGCCATACACGACTGTGTTGACCCCCGAGAAGCCCGTGACGCCGGAGACGAACACGACCTGAGCGACGAAGAGGACCAGGTCTTGAGCGAGACAGCATAGCGACCTCACGCGGTCGCTCACGCGGGCCGCCGGCTCGGCACGCAACATTGGAGACGAGGGCGCTCACGCGCGGCCTTGCGCGGGCAGCTCGCGCGCGAATGTCGGCGCAGGCGACCCCGTTTTCTTCCGTCGGTCACCTGGCCGCTGAAGAAGGAGTCGAACTCAAGTCCTGGCCCGTCGAGGTCCACGCAGAGATCGTAGTGGCGCCAGTACTCCAGCCCTGTCAGGTCCAGCATCAGCGACCAGGCCGGACCGGCGCCCGACATGAAGCGCGCGGCGGTCAGCGAGCCCGCGGTGGCGACGTCCACGTTGGCCGTGGCGCAGGCCGCTGCCAGGTACCCTGTCGAGTTGCTCGAGCAGTTAGGGCAGTCCACGACGACCTCTGTGAAGCCGGGCCTGATGCTGGAAACGTCGAGCGAGCTGACCGCTCCAACGAGCACGGAGAAGCCTGTGTCCCCTGGGCTGAACCCGCCCCTGCTCGCGCCGTCCAGGTCCACGCAGATCGAATACTCCCGCCCGATCTCCAGGCCTGGTGAAACAACAAGTTACGGTAGGGTTCGCGCGGCGTCGGCGCGCGCGAAGGTTTGTGACACTGCGTCAATCGTTCGACCTTGATCCGATCGTGGCCCCGATCGTCTACGGTTGAATTCTGCCGGGTCCAGTGGCGTTATCGCGTCCCCCGGTGCTTCCCCGAGATCCGACGTAGCAAAAAAATGCAACATCGTAAGAATTCACGCCCAGAGCCCTAAAACCTATCTTTTTGCGCCATGTCTCGAGCCGGATCGATCCGTGAGGGTCCCGGGGCCCGAGACTGAGCGAAAACGCCCGTGGTGGAAAAAAACTGCTACGCCAGCATCTCAGGGCTCCGCGCCAGAAGCTTCAACCTGGAACGCCTGCGCCGGCGTCGCCGGCGCGGCCACGCCGCAGGAGCCTACCGCACTTCCGCACCACAGGCGTTTTGTCGGAGGTCCGCGCGGACTTCCCGGGTCGGCGCCGCCCCCGGCGCGCGCGAGAGAGCCGCGCCGTGGGGGGCGCGCTGGGAGGCGCCGCCGGGGGCGCCGCGCGGAAGCGGGGGCCCCAGCGCCGACCCGGCAGGTCCGCGCGAAGCTCCAGCAGATCGGGCGAGCGACGAGCAAGAGCGGGTCTTGCGCGAGATGGCACAGCGACCTTACGCGGCAGCCTACGAGGGCGGCCCGCGCGGCGCGCCACAACCGAAGCGAGGGCGCTTGCGCGCGACCTTCCGCGGGCAGCTTGCGCGCCAACGTCGGCGAAGACGACCCCCTTTTTGCTGCGTCGCCCAGGTGTCTGTGCCGCTTTTGTTCCTCGAGGGCCAGTGGCGTCGAACACCGCCTCCCACAGCAGCGTGCTCGAGCTCGGCGTCAGCGCGACGGGGCCGCCGTCCGGCGGCGGGCCCACGCACGCCGTGGCGAGCCACGCCTCCGTTGCCGCGCTGCACGAGGGGCACGCCGCCGAGACCCGCTCGGCGCCCGTGCGCAGGATGGTGCTGTGGCCGCGGGCGGACTGGATGCTCAGGAATGGCGGGACGAAGGCCTGGGTACGGCAGGCTCGTGTCGTGACGACACCGGCGCTGGCTTCGGACACCGCGCGGGTCGTTCAGTCTCGAAGGATCGAACGGCAACTTCTCGATCGCCAGGTCTTGCCACGTGGGCCGACTCTGACCCACTGGCGGCGTTCGACCCTGAAGGCCCAGGGCGGGGCCGCAGCCGAATCAGCACGGCGCGATGCAGCTGACGCACACGCTGAACCTCAGAGCTTCCGCGGGTCCCTGGCGCCACCGGGGGCTGAGAGAATTCCATTGGGGCGCCTGCCGACAGGCCGGGTTCTCATCTGACGTGCCCGCTGCACAAGGTGAGCAGCGACACTAAGCAGAAGCCCTACGCGTGAAGGTACAGCCCATGGCGACAGGCCAGGTTCTTATTTGGCGTGCCTGCTGCACGAGGCGAGCAGCGACACGAAATAGAAGTCCTACGCGTGAAGGCACAGCGTGACCCTACGCAGCAGCTCGCGCGAGCCGCCGGCACGCCACGAGGCCACGAGAGACGGGCGGCGCTCGCGCACGACCCCACGCGGGCAGCCTGAGCGCGCATGTATGCGCAGTCGATGGCGTGGCCCAGGGGCTGTCGCTCAGGGGCCCATGGCCCGTTGAGGGGCAGGGGGTCAAACTGATCACCGAGCAGGGGCCCTCCACGGCAGAAACGGCGAAAACATCCCAACAGCACGGCGCACCGCCAGCCGGCTTGGGCTGCTCTCGGGCATCTGGGATCTGGACTGTGTGCTTCCATTGTTTCTGCTGCCAGTCCTAGCCGCCGCCGAAGGAACAGGAGGGGCTCAAAACTAAAGAGACCTCTGGCGGGTACACGCGAAGAGTGACCCCAGGCAAGGGTGATCTCTGCTGCGCTGCCCGAGTTTGCCGAGGGGAGGCCACATCCAAGCGCGCAGGCCAATGCTCGGGGGACCCCCCGTGGGCCCGTGCCGAAGGCCACTCCGGCGAAGGGCAACTCTGACGCGTGGCCGACCCGTGCGGTGGCAGAAATGATGGGCCGATTGTCCACCAGCACTACCATAGGTAGGAGGAGGAGGAGGAGGAGGAGGAGGAGGAGGAGGAGGAGGAGGATGAAGAGGAGGAGGAGGAGGAGGAGGAGGAGGAGGAGGAGGAGGACCTCTCCACCCTCCCTTCTCCCCCGTCCTACCTCCGGTGGTGGTGGTGGAGAACTGGCCCACCCAGAGACTCCGCGGGCCTGGATCCCCGTGTCGCCAGGCGTGGGCGACGTCGCCAGCCGCCTGCCCGCGGCGAGGCCGCCGCCCGCCACGACGCACAGGCTGTAGTGCACCCCGTGCAGCAGGCCCGACGTGTCCAGGCTGAGCGCGCACTCGCCGGCGACGGCGCTCCGCAGCGGCGCGGAGGAGGTGCGGGCGGCGCCGTCGACGGGCAGCCCGGCGTCGCACGAGGTGGCCAGGTAGCCCTGCGCGTCGGAGGGGCCTGGCGCGCACCGTGGTTCCAAGGCGACGAGGTCTGTGCAGATGCACGGCCCCAGGCCGGGCCCCTCTCGGGCCCACGATCGGTGTGCACGCACTCCTGGCCTGGCCGAGGAAGCACATGCGCTGCTCGTGGGCACAGGATGGGCCAGGCCTGGGGCAGTGGACATGCATAGATTTCGTTGCCCTAGGCTCCTGGAAACGGCTCCGTTTCCAGAGATGCTGCTCTTGAGACCGAGAGCGCTCTGAAAGCCGAGAGCAAAACACTGCTCGCCGGAACGGATCAAGAAATGCTCCAGGATTGGAGCCGGAGCCAGAACCCAGAAAAAAGAGCGACGGAACCAGAAAAACAGAAAGGCAATATGAAAATGGTGGGATTACTGCCCTGTCGTTTCCAAGAACAACTGAGGCCTAGCGGGCATGGCAGCGGCCAGAGCTCATCGGAGGCGGAGCCCTGCGTGAGGAACGGCCTGGGCACCGCGGCCAGAGGGGACACATACGTGGAGAGGCCAGTGTCTCCCACAGCCAAGGTCTCGTTGAGCCCGTCCACGTCGACGCAGAGCCTGTAGTGGGCGCCCAGAGTGAGGTTCTCGGCGTCCAGGGTCAGCAGCCACCAGCCCGTGGACGGCGTGAGGGCAGACAAGCTCGAGCTCGGCTCGCCCAGAGAGGCTAACTGCTCCACGGACGTGCCGTTCGCGCACTCCTCGGCGAGGTACGCCAGGGATGCGCTGGAGCAGGCGGAGCACAGGAGTGGCTCGAGCGTCTGATTGGCCAGCGGCAGCAATGCCAGAGGCGCGGTCTGGTACACCTCGGCGATGTACACAGTGATCCCGCAGTCTCCGCCGCGGAGGCCGTAGCCCAGAGCGCCGTCCAAGTCGGTGCACAGGAGGTACCTGCCGCCGGCCTGCAGGCCAGAGGTGTCCTGCTCGAGCGTCCACTCCGAGCCCGTCCAGCCGAACTGCTGGGGGACGGTGGCTGGCGCGTCGCACGAGGCGACGGCAAGGTAGCCCTCGGAGTACTGAAAGCAGCCCGCGCCGCACACCATGCTGAGCAGCTGGTCGGGCCTGGCGCGTGCCACCCTCTCGCCGCCCGCGGGCGCCGCGGCAGACACCCCGGAGACATAGACCTCGAGCCCCGTCGGGCCCGCAGGCATCGAGCCCGTGGCATTGCCGTCACCGCCGTCGGGGTCCACGCAGAGGCGGTAGTGGCGGCCAGCCTCCAGGGCGCTGGCGTCCACCTCCGCGAGCCAGCCCGAGGCCGTGGCACCGGCAGACAGCGCTGCCCGCGGGCTGGAGACCCCCTGGGAGGGGCCGCAGGCGGCAGAGAGGTACACCTTCACCGCCGGGATGTGTCCGTATCCACCGCTTCTGGGCCGCGCCCGTGGACCTCGAGGGAGTAGTGGAACTGGATGCATGCCCGCCCCTGAAGGCCGGTGAATATCCACAGCCACCAGTCCTCGGGGTCCCTGGGCACGACCACGGCCCAGTGGGTGTGGACATATTCTGGCGGTGGACCACCTCCGTGGCCTCAGTGCACCTAGGGCAATTCACCTCAAATGTCCGATTCGTGCTTCTATTGCTGCTGCTGGTATTGCTACTGCTGCTGATGCTACCGGCAATCGTTGGTGCGTACACCACGGCCCCCGCGCTGGAGACGTCGTGGATGTAGGCCTGCATGCCAGAGTCGCCTGGCCTGAGGGAGAGCCCATCACCATCGATGTCGAGGCAGACCAGGTAGTACCCGCCGAGCTCCAGGGCGCTCGCGTTCAGGTCTGCAGCCCAGGCCTCGCCCGCCGAGAACACCCGGGAGCTCGCCGTCTGTGCCACGAGGCCGCTGCACGATGTCGCCAAGTATGCCTGTGAGGCGTTGGAGCAAGCACCGTCGCAGGTTACCAGCAACGCCTGCCCCGCGCGGGGCCGCACCGGCGCGACGAACCGCTCCGCAGCGGGGGTGATGTAGACGGTGCCCACCTCGCCTGCACTGCGAGGCCCCGACGCCCCGTCCAGGTCCACGCACACCGCGTAGTGCGCGCCGATGACGAGGCCAGCTGCGTCCAGCACCGCGGACCAGGCGTCCCCTGCGCCCACGATGTTCACAGCATGTGACCTCTCGCTCTGCACGAGCGAGGCGCAGCCCGCGTCCTCCCTGGCGAGGAAGACCTCCGTGTCCTGGCTGCAGCAAGCCTCGTCCTCTGCCAGCTCCGGGCTGCACTGAACGCCGACGTCCTCAGAGTGACTGCAGGTGCCGTTGCTCAGGTGGTCGATGACGCCCCAGCCTTCGTGACTGCACTGGCTCAGCGCGCTCTCCGAGCCTGCGCAGTCGACACCGTGCAGCCAGATCGGGCCGCTGCCGGCTGGGACTGAGCCGTTGTCTAGCGCGACTCCCCCCGTGAAGCCCAGCTGCCTGCAGACCACCGCAGCCGAGGCGTCCGTGAAATTGACGTCGCAGACGGTGCCCCACTGGCCGTCGTGGTAGACCTCCAGGCGCCCCTCGCTGTGGCTCGCGCCCACGAGCCGGACGGGCTCGCGCTCGTGGTAGACCGAGCACATCCGGCACGCCAAGTCGAGGACCTGGCCCGGCACGGCCCGCACCTGCCGCGGCGCGACCGCCGTGACGGGGGCCACGTAGACCCTCAGCCCCGTGTCGCCGTAGCCGCCCCCGTGGTCGACGCAGAGCGCCAGGAAGCGCCCCGGGAGGATGCCCGAGGTGTCGAACACCTGGGAGGACAAATCATAAAACCTTTGACGGTCCGCGCAGAGTTCTCGGATCCGCGCTGACCCCCCCCCCCTCCCTGGCGCGCGCTGGCGCCGCCGGCGAGGCCCCATCGCCGTTTCGGGGCCCTGGCCAACGAAGTAAACGGCTGCGGCTCCAGCCGCTCGTGCTCCCCGTGATGCCCGTGCTGCTTGCCCTCCACCCCCTCAGCCAGCCAGGCCGTTGACCCCGCCCATAGGACCTCCTACACTGGGGGGGCCTCAGGATACCGGTACCGCATGCCCCCGGACCTCTCCTGGAGTGCGTTCTGACAAGGATTTCGAAGCGAATCCGGCGGTGGCGACGAGGGCCTCCCAGGAGGCCCCCAGGAGGGTAAAACGAGGGAAGGGGAGCAGTATGGATACCTTTTCCTCCGACGACGAACAGTCAAGTCAGACTCGAAGGCTTACAGCCGAAGAAGTGATCAAGATCAGTCAAGAAATCTGGGCCAACTTCCAGGACGTGTCTTAAGACAAACCTGGGCCAAATTCTCCCGTCAACGTTGGAGGGGCGAAGGAGCTCAAGAAACTGGGCCAGCTTCCCAGCAAGTTGGTCAAGACGATGGCCCAACTGTTCAGGAAGAGGCTTCTTAATCAGATGCTCGACTGTGTGCAATTTTTCCCGAATCGGTGATCGACTACAGAATTGATCTACCCCAAACTTGGGTTTTCCGTTGAATCTACGACAGGCACGCAGAATGTTCAGTGGATCTACTCCACCTTCTGCGCACTTGTGCTGCAGCTTCGGCGGGGCGAGCAACTCTGGGGGGAATCGAGTCTGTAGTCGATGCCCTGCTCTGGGTCGCACAAAGTCATACTAGTACTATGTGTTCTCCTTGGATGCGCACGTCCGACCCGAACATCTAGTACGCCCATCTTGTAGCATATCGCTTCCCGAGCGGTGTGGCCAGAAAGCGCCCGCCACGACGCATATACTACAAGATGTCTCGGTGCGCGCGTCGCCCCTGGGGGGGCGACGCACATATCGTATGAGTATGTTGGGGTGACGCCGATGCTCGAGATTCTTTTTGTAGTCCCGAAACGGTGCGGTGACAGACCGTGCGGTGACCTCGAAACCCTCCAAGACCTCACAGCACGGCCCGTCAGCGCACGGTTCTGGGACCCCGGAGGCCCCGGCCGCCCCGGACGTCCTCGGAGAACGACCCGAGCCCCAAAGCCGTGCTGCGACCAAGAATCCCCACTGACTCACCGCACGGTGTGGTCACCGCCCTGTTTGGGGGCCCCCGAAAAACACTTGAGCCTGGGATCAGAGGCCGGCCCCGGGGAGGAGGACGAGGAGGAGGAGGAGGAGGAGGACAACGAGGAGGAGGAGGAGGAGGAGGAGGAGGAGGAGGAGGACAACGAGGAGGAGGAGGGGAGGAGGAGGAGGAGGACAACGAGGAGGAGGAGGAGGAGGAGGAGGACAACGAGGAGGAGGAGGGGGAGGAGGAGGAGGAGGGGGAGGAGGAGGAGGAGGACAACGAGGAGGAGGAGGAGGAGGAGGAGTAGGAGGAGAAGGTTGAGCACCAGCGTCAGGTTCTCCCCGGAGCCGGCGCCCGCCGAGCTCCCCGGCGCCGTGCTGGCCGAGCTCTCGGGCGGCGGGGCCGCGCCGCAGGCCACGGCCAGGTACGCCGCCTGGACCCCGCAGGCGCCGTCGCAGGCGAGGTTGACCGCCTGGGAAGACCTTATGGGAGGCCACTGCCGGGAGGTTTGGGCGCCCGAGTTATCCGGGGTAACTCGGGTCTGGGGTAACTCGGGTTTGGATTCCCGAAAAAATGAACCCGAGTTAGCCCTGACCCGAGTTACCCCTGATGATGTGGGGCTCTGGACGCCCGAAATATCCGGGGTAACTCGGGTCCGGGGTAACTCGGGTTCGGATTCCCGAAAAACGAACCCGAGTTAACCCTGACCCGAGTTACCCCTGATGATTCGGGGCTCTGAGAGGTGTTCGTCGGAGAGACTGAAGAGGATTGACTACCTACCAGACCACCCCAACCAACAACCCGAAGACCCGAATTTCGGGTGGGGGGGGGGTAAGGGTTCCATATGTGTTTTTGTCGGTGTTTCCCGACCCCCCCCCCACCACTGGAAATCGAGGGTGAATCTGAGCCTTCGGGTTGAGTTGGGGTGGTTTGGTGGGTGGTGAAGGATTGAGCCCCATTTGGGAGCTGGTGCGCCGGAGTGGGCCGCGGACTAAGCAGGAGCAAGCTGGCTTAAGCGGGGTCAGGCGGGATTCAGCCGGATTGAGCGGGATTAAGCTGGATCAAGCCGGATTTCGGACCAGGGCGAAAACAGAATTTGACCTCCCAGGAGTTGGATCCGAAAAGATGTATCGATCAAGTGGGGTATCGCCAACAACAAAAATTCAGCGGCGAGCGAATGGGGGGGAAGGGAGAAGGAGAAGGCCTTCTCACAGAAGGCTCGGAGATCCCCCAGACTTCGGAGGAGTGCTCTGAGCCTTCCCCGGAGACATAAAGTACCTCTCAGAAGGCCCGAGGGCTTCTGAGAAGTCCCGCCGCCTTCTGAGTAAGGTGAAGACAGAATGGAGACAAACTCGGACCGATATGAATCTATGAGAATCGAAACGAAATCTTCGATTACAAATCGGATACGGTGAAGGTATTGCATAAGGAACCACTGGATAAGGAATCCTGGGTCTGGAAGCCCGCGGAACTCTAATCGTGGAGTGGCCACGGATATCGCCGCCGCCCTCATTGGATAAGGAATCCTCCAGGGTCTGAAGCCTCCAAGGCACATTCCTCAACGAACGCCCCCACCGTGCAAAATCTCTGAGAATCGAGACCGGCAAAATCGAACTGACTCGAGACAAAGTCTCTGAGAATCGCCGGGTCTAGAGGATGCCTCGGGCGCCGCGGCCGCTTCAGAGCGGTCCAGAACGCACCGAGAGCGTTCCGCACCGCGCTGGAACGGATTCATCTCGATTCTGGGCCCGTCCGATGACCCGAGGTCGACTGTGCCAGGCGCGAGGGCCGCGATAGAGGTAGCAAACACGGAGTGCCCCGAGTCCCCCAGCGCCGCGGCGTCTCCTTGACCGTCGGCGTCGACGCAGAGCCTGTACGTGGCCCCCACCGAAAGCGCGCTTGCGTCGAGCGACAGGGTGAAAGTCGAAGCACCTCCTGACGACTCGAACTCACTGGGCAGCGTGGCGTTGGAGGAGGTGTTCGCGCACGTCTCCGCGAGAAGTCCAAAGCTCATGTTCGAGCACCACGCGCCGCTGGCACACGTGAGCGTGAAGTTGCTCCTGGCGCCGCCGAGGGGGCGGAAGGAAACCTGTGACGTGCTCATCACGGGCGATATGTATGCCTGGAAGCCCGAGTCACCGAACGGCAGGTCTGCACCAGGGCCGTCCAAGTCGGTACACAGCCTGTAAAACATTCCCGCGTCCAAGCCGAGGATGGAGACCCAGGCAATCCATGTGTCTGGCCCCAGCGTTGCGAAGCGCCCAGCGTCGCCCCCTTCTCCGCTGCCACAGGTCGAGGCCAGGCGAGCCTCCGACCACTCCGAGCAGGCATCGGCATCCACGCAAGAGAGGACCAGCCCGCGTCGCTTCGCGCCCGCGAACACGGTGCCAGTGTGCAGGACCACGTTCGAGACGTAAACGGTCCAGCCCGCGTCGCCTTCGTGCAGGGGGCCTCCGCCATCCCCGTCGGCGCAAGCGCGATACGTCGCCCCCACGCGCAGGTCCAGGGTGTTCAGCTCCACGACCCAGTCGCTGCCGTTCAGAATGATCGCCGCCGACGCTGTAGCAAACTGCCCCTCGGCCGTCGAGGGCCCGCTTCTCTCGGGGTCGCAGCTCATGGCCAAACGAAGTACTGCTTCGCTGCCATTGGAGGACGTGCAGCCTGGGCAAGGAACACGGAACTGCGTGCTCACTGACGGCACGATGGTCGAGCTGTGCGCCGCAAGGCCCGAAACGTAGATGGAGTGGCCGGTGTCGCCGACCATGAGAGGCCCGTCGTCGCCGTCCACATCCAGGCAGAGCCTGTAGTACGCAAAGTAGTCGAGCTCGGAGGAGTTGGGTATGGGCAGCCAGAGGAGCTGGGCGTCATCCAGCACCACCGGCTGCCCGGCCGGGGCCTCCCCGCCGAAGGGGTGCCGGCAGCTCGCCGCCAGGAACGCGGTGGAGGCGTTGCTGCAGACGGCGACGCCCGTCGGGTCGCAGCCCCTCAGCAGCACCTCGAGGTACGAGCCGTTCGGGATGATGGTCTCTGGGCCACCCGCGTCCACAGGCGACAGGTACACCGAGAGGCCGGAGTCCCCCGCTGCCAGGCCGCCGCCGGGGATCTCGGTGCCGTCCAGGTCCGTGCAGAGGGTGTAGTAGCGGCCCCGGTCGAGGCCATTCGTGTCCAAGCTCAGCGTGCGGTCCTCCAGGTGTCCGCCGACCGTCTGCAGCAGCCCGGGCAGCGTCTCCGCCACGGCTGGCGGCGCGGCGCTGGGGCGCTCGGGGTCGCAGGCGGTCGCCAGGTAGCCCAGCGCCTCGGAGCCGCAGCTGTCCGCGGAGGAGCACACGAGTCGCAGGTGCGCCTGGCCGTCGCCCTGCTTCACCGCCCCCCCGGTCATGGCTGCCAACGCCGTGACGTAGACAGTCAGCCCAGTGTCGCCCAGCGGCGACGCCAACGAGCCCTCGCCGAGAAGGTTGACGCAGAGCCTGTACGTCTCGCCGAGGCGCAGTCCGCTCGCGTCCACCTCGGCGTCCCAGACATCGGCCGAGTCGCTCGGCAGCAGCGCGGCGGCCGCACTGCGGCCCTCGCCCGCCGGCACGGAGCCGTCGCAGAGAACCGCGAGGTGCACGGTGGTGGCGGGCAAGCACGCCAAGCAGTGGACGGACAGCTGCTGCCCGCCACGACGCTCCACCGCGTGGCGCCGGAGCGCGAGGATGGGGGACACGTACGCCTCGACGCCTGAGCCGTCATTCTGGTACTCGTCCCCGTCCTGCCCGTCCAGGTCCACGCACACCTCGTACAGGAGGCCCGGAGCTAGGCTCGTCGCGTCGAGCACGACCTGCCACTCGTCGGCCCCGGGGCCTGGCTCGAGCGAGGCGGGCAGGGTCGTGTTTGCGGCGGCCTCCGTCGGAGCCGTGGCATTGCAGGCGTCGGCCAGGTAGGCCTGCGTCTTGTTCACGTCGCAAGCGGGGCACGTCAGGATCAGCTGCTGCCGCTCCATGGCCGCGAGCGACCAGGCGCGCTGCAAAGGCCGGTACCCTGATCGGGCGGCCAGGATTGGCGAGGCGTACACCGTAAGGCCAGTGTCGCCGAACGCGAGCGAGGACAAGTGGCCATCCAAGTCTGCGCAGACCCGGTAACGCACTCCAAGCGGATGCAGCGCGTCGTCTAGCTGAATCTGGGCAGACCAGGAGCCGTCGCGCTTTCTTAGTGGCACAGCGGCCGTGCGGTTCGCGCCCGCCGGAGATACCCCGTTGGAGATCCAATCGTCGCAGGCGCCTCCCGTGGTGAGGTACACCGTGGAAATGCAGGAGCAACCAGATGCGCACGCAAACCCCACGCTGCTGGCCCCTGGCATAGCTGCCGAGCGCTCGAGCACCGAAGATATGCCGCTGATGTACACCGTCAACCCCGAGTCCCCTGCGGGCAGCGCGTCGTTCGCCTCTCCGTCGAGGTCTGTGCAGAGACGGTAGACCATGCCCAGCGTGAGCTGTGTGGCGTCGAAAACAAGCGTCCACTCCGCGCCAGCTGCCGCGAAGGGCGTCGCGGCGGTCGCAAAGCCGATCAGGCAGTTTTCCGAGAGGTAGGCGACAGAGCTGCTGGAGCAGCCCTGCGCACATGACGCAGACACCACCTGTCCAGGCTGTCTCGAGATGGCTGGAGGCGAGGTGGCTTCGACCCCGGTGATGTAGATGCCCCGTGCCAGCGACGCGCCCGAGTAGAACTGTGCCCCCGCCGCGCCATCCAAGTCCAGGCAGAGTTGGTAGCGCTCGCCGACGGCCAATCCCGACGCGTCCACTGGCAGCTCCCAAAAGACGGGACCGCCTGAGAGCTCACCGGGAGGGCTGCTGACAGTGACCGTGGAGTTACTGCAACTGTCGGCCAGAAAGCCCTCGGACTCGTTTGAGCAGCCGCTGGGACACTGGATGGTCAGCATCTGGCCAGCCTCTCTCCTCAAGGCCGCCACTGGACCGTCACCGCGCGGGTGCCCAGCCACCACAGGGGACACGTAGACCTCGAACAGCGTGTCGCCCATGGGTTCAGGCCCCGTGCCGTCTATGTCCACGCAGAGCCTGTAGAACCTACCCAGGCCCAGCCTCGACGCGTTGAAGCTTACCTGGAACACCAAGTCTACCGAGGTGTTCTCGAAGACAGCACTCGTGGTGTAGTTCTCATCGCTCGTGAGAACGGAGCCGCTGGCAAGGGACGTGTCGCAGCTCGTGGACAGGTAAGCCGCCGACACCGCCGAGAGGCACCCGCCCGTGGCTGCGCACTCGAGCAGCACGGCCTGCGCCGCGGCCTGCTGCACCGAGGCGCCGCCAACGACGCCGAGCACGCCACTTGCGTACACCTGGAACCCCGAGAGGCCCATGCGCAGCGACACCGCGGTGCCGTCCAGGTCCACGCACACGCGGTAGAGCCGCCCACCGCCCAGGCCACTGGCATCCACCTCCAGCGACCAGCTGGGCGCCGTGCCACTGAGGGCCACGGAGGCAGTGTGGGCCGGGAAGGCCGCCGCAACGCTCGCGTTGAGGTTGGCGGTGTCGCAGGCCGTCGCCAGGTAGCCCTCAGTCTGGGCGGTGCAATCCTGGCAGGTCAAGCTGACGGCCTGCGCAACGTCCAGAAAAATGGTGGCCGTCGTCACGGCGGCCACGCCGGACACGTACACCTCCAGCGCCTCTCCGTACGTGAACACCGCACCGTCCCCGTCCAGGTCGGCGCACAGCAAGTAATACGACCCTGGAGTGAGGGAGCTCGCGTCGAAGGTCGCTGTCCAGGCGCCGTCGCTGCCACTGAGGGCGGCCGACGCGGTGCTCCCGGCCCCGCCGTCAGCGACGGCACCACTCGCATCAGAGTCGCAGGAGGTCCCCAGGAAGGCCAGGGAGCTGTCGGAGCATCCATCCGCACACGCCAGGCCGACGGCCTGCGTCGCGGCGGGGAACACGACGCCGTCGCCGGCGGCCTCCACGTCCGAGACGTACACCCTCAGGTCGGCGTCCCCCGACGGCGTGGTGAGCCCGGCGCCGTCCAGGTCCACGCACAGGCTGTAGTGCGCCCCCGCCGTGAGGGCAGACGCGTCGATCGCCAGCTTCCACAGCGTGCCGGAGGCGGTGTCCGCGACGAGCGGCGTGGACGCGGTGCCGGCGGCCCCGGAGGCCGCCACGGAGCCGTCGTAGTTCGTCGGGTCGCAGGCCGTGGACAGGTAGGACGTCGTGGCGTTGGAGCAGCTCGGGCACTCGAAGAGGACCTCCTGGGCGGCCGCGGGGGCCACGGTGGTCCACCCGACGAGGCTCATGGTGCCTGCGATGTAGAACTGGAAGCCGGTGTCGCCGAACGCGACGTCCGTGGAGATGCCGTCGGTGTCGATGCACAGCGTGTAGAGGCCCCCGACGGCCAGCGAGCTGCAGTCGAGCGTCAGGGACCACGGGGCGGCAGGCAGGATGGCCTCGCTGGCCGTGCGCAGGTCGCCGCTGGCGGCGACGACCCCGTCGAAGTCGGCGTCGTCGCAGCCCACCCGGGTCAGGTAGCCCGTGGTCGCAGTGGCGCACCTGAGAGGAGGCCAGGACTTGGAGAACAGCGGCGGGGGACAAGAGTCGGGGAACTGCGAGGTCCGGCGGGTCTGGAGGATGTGGCGGGCGCCGCGGCCGTTCCAGAGCGCGCCGGACGCTTCTGAGAGCGTTCCGGAACGCTCTGGAGCGGTGCGTCCCAGTCCTAGCCCCGCCCAGGCACCCCCCGTAGTCGCAGGAGAGGGCTATGGTCTGCGACGCGGCGGGGGACAGCCGCTGCGGGGTCACCGCGGTGACAGGGGACACGAAGACCCGGAAGCCAGTCCACCCGTACGTGAGCTCGATCTTGCTGCCCCCGATCGTGCTCTCGAAGTCACCGTCGTAGTCCAGGCACACCCGGTAGTGGCCGCCGACCTGCATGCGGCTGCCGTCCTGCGTCACGGTCCTGGTGGTGCCCGAGCCCGTCAGGAGGATGGAGTCCGCGCCGTCGAAGAACAGGCCCGAGACGGTGCTGTCGCACTCCTCGACGGCGGGGGGGGTGTCGGTCGGGCCTATCATGTATCCCTGGGCCTCGGCGGGAGGGCAATCCGTGCCGCACGTGAGCGTGACGTCCTGCTCCTCCACCTTGAAGATGGCCACCGTCTCGGCGGCCTCGAACGGGGACACGTACGCGATCAGGCCCGTGTCCCCGAAGGCCATGGTCTCGTTGGAGCCGTCGGCGTCCAGGCAGAGGGAGTAGGTGCGCCCGTACGTGAGGCCGCTGGTGTCCAGGGTGAGGGTCCACTCGCCGGCGGCGCTGCCTTCCACCAGAGTCGAAGAGGCGGTCGAGTAGATACCTCGGGGGCAGGGAGGTACCGATGCCGCCACTCCCCCGGGCTCCCCCGCGGTGCGTGCTGACCAGGGCGTCGAGGCGAATCCAGGCGCGGCGACGAGGGCCTCCCGGGAGGCCCAAGAGGCGGAAACGGGGCAAGGACAGCGGCGTCGGTGCCCTTTTACAGTCGACCCGTGTCGTGACCATGCGCGGTAAGGACGCCAAGGGCCTCGGAGGTCCACGTGAACCTTTTTCGAACGAGAGGTTGGCCAGCGAAAGACGCTCAAGGTGGGCCGAAGGGGCAAGGATGCAATGGGTACCCTGGGGAGGGATGCCCACCCTCAATCTGCGGGTCGACTGTGCCTCCTAAGGGGGACCGCCGCTGCCCGCCACCCCCGCGAAGTTCGTGTCGTCGCACGCCGTCGACAGCATGCCCGCCGCGCCCGTGCTGCAGCCCGCCGCGCACAGCAGGGTGAGCGTCTGGCCCGCGGCGCGCTGGACCCCCACGGCGGCGACGGCGGGGAAGGCGAAGGAGGTCACGGGAGAGACGTAGAACGTGAAGGGCGCGGGCCTGGCGGCGACACGCAAGAGTGGCCCTGGGCAAGAGCGGCCCTGGGTGCGCGGCCTTTCGGGGCCGCGAGGGCGGCCCAACCCCCAGCGCGCAAGCCGCTGCTGCCGCATCGCGGTCGGCGCTCGGGAGGGCCCCGAGGAGCCCGCACCACAGATCCCTCTGGCGAGGGGCCACTCTTACCCATCGGTCGGAAAGGTAGGCAGAAGCATCACGCAGGGGGGCGTTGAAAGTGGATCGGGTGGCCTCCCACCCCCTAGGGAGGACGCAGGAGGGGCAGCCGCCCGACCTGTGAGGCAGGAAGGCGCCTCGAGTGGAGTGGAATCGGGGAGTCCCGGAGTACCTGCTTCCAACGA